TTTTTTTTTTTTTGTTGAGGAGGAAAGTTGAGTATTTCTACATAGTTTCTGTTTTTTCCCCTCCTTATAATTCACTTCCCATGTTCATTTATCTCTCTAAAATTTTTGGATGTATGCTATCTTTTATCAGGCAGTTAATTAAACTGCTTCAAACCTGTATTGTTTATTTTGTCTCCTTTGTTATTGCTGTTAAAAAATGTGCTGTGCAGCAGTGTCTTTAGAAAGGGATAACAGGCAGTTCAACTAATGCTTAAAACTCAGTGTCAAGACTGTGGACTAGTGAGATTTTTTGGGAATGTGAAGTCCTGCTTCCTTTCCACCTGCTCATTGCTCTGCTAACATGCGGTCAGCATTTGTCTTGGCATAAGTTTAGTTCAGTGTCTTGGAGTAACTGGCCTGATGAGTTGTTAAACTCTGCTCATCTCAGTTAACAGCTGTGATGGTTTGATTTGCATAGATTAAATGGTAAACCTAATATGGCTCCTTATGCACAATTAAATTGCTGGAATTGCTACATACAGTGAGTAAAATAAGAACAACTGAGAGAGCAGCTGGAGAGAAAAAGGACAAAACGCTCATTAAATTTGCAACAAGAGTCAAAAGTTATTTGTATGAGAATAGATAAAAGATGAGGGAAGACTGTATTGGAGTGCTTTGCACAGGATTGGGTTTGGGTCTGGTGGTGGTTCATTGTCATGAGCTGACAAAATCTGAATCTTATCAAGTGCAAAAATGGTCTGCAAAATTCCACACAGTCTCCTCTTAGATCCAAGCAGTAGGTGAGGGGTATCCTTCTGTGTGTTCCCTTTAGACTTCTGGTAGAACTATTAAACTGAGACTAGGGAAGGCTGTAGGGAAGAAGCCCTAGCATTCATTGACAACCTGGAGGCATGAAGCGTGTATCCAGCCCACTGCCAGGAAGTCTGTCATTTGTGATGGCTGCCCTATGTATTTGCTGACCTCTTTGTTTTGTTGACTTGGAGGTTCTGTTTGAAATTGGCAGTTGTAAGAACTGAAGTGAGAAGTGTTGCCCTATTGTTAATGCATTCAGTGCTAGCTGTCAAGTACATGAAAGCGAATGGAAAAGGATTCTATTTATTTCTGTATAGCATTTTCAAAAGACATCTGTCTCCTTTAAAATATATTTGAAGCTTCAAAACTCTCAGGATACAGCCATAAAATCCCTATGAAGACAACTTACAACATAATAAGATATTAATCTAACGTGTTGAATTTCCCCCAAATGGAAAACAAACCTTTTTTGTGCTCCTCTGGCCCATCATATGGGGCATATACAGCATGCTGGTGTATGCAGGGCAGCCGTGAACTGTCATCTTTCAGAGATTGACTGTGGGCTACTGAGATTTTATGCTACATATCTGAATCTTCTGTTTCATCCATGGAAGAAAACTGTAAAATGTGCTTTTCTTCTACGTGACTTGAATTCACTTTCAATATATCAATTTTCTATCGGGTGAAATTTAGTTCTGTGATGATTGAATTAACTTTGGTCTTCTTTGTTGAAGTCTTATATTTAGCTAATCTGGAAAATATTGAAGTCAATGGATTAGGAAAAGAATCACTAACTGCCATGAATATTAAACAATGCATAACTATCATCTGCAAAAATACAGGTGCTATTTCACAGCCAGAAGAGAAGAAATTCCTTCTGTGGTGTGGAGACGTGAAACAAGTACTGTTAAAAGTGTTTCTCCAAGTACAGTGAGCATCTGGAGGTGCTCAACACTGCAGAAACTGCCCATAAGAAATTTTAAGAAGAGATTTTAATCTTTAAGAAATTTAATCTTTAGAAATCTTAAAGAAATTTTTAACTTTTTTAGAAGACATAACTGTTGAGTATGGTTCATGTTTGCTCTACGGAAGCTGGCTTGTGTTCCCATGTGAGCATTAAGTAAGTGCTGCTGCAGTTAATCCGTCACAGGTTACTTTCAGGATATGGCAGATGACTGGAGTAGTGTGTGGGAAGGCAGATTTGGGGTAATTCTGTCACTAAGCCACCTGGTTAGGGGCATGACCTTTGGCAAGTGCCTTGATCTCTCCCTTTCTGTTTCCTCTTTTTCTATTTCTTTATCTTCTTAAATTATAAGATAGACTTTTTTGGAGTACTGGTAATTTCTTTTGTATTTGTGCAGTGCACAGACCTGAGTTTCAGCTAAGGCTTCTGTCATATAATAAATAAACTTGCTTCCTCTTTCTATAGATCTGATAGAAAATCGTTATTCCAAGAATGCTTTGGGAAAAGCAAGGGTTTTATCTGTTGGTTTTCTTGCTATGAGCAAGAGAATTTCAGTACTATTGGTTGGTTTTTATTGTGTTCAGTTGCTTTCTCGTATTCAACAACAACTGCATGAAAACAGCACTGTTTAAAAACTTTTCCATACAGATAAGTGAAAATATGGGCCAAGTAAAAAACAGAATCACCTACTGGATGTGAAATCACTTTACATGAGTTGTGTGAACATCAGCTTTCTCTGCCTTCAGCTAATAAATGTTCAGTCGCTGTGTGTTCTTGTATGCCAAGCAAATATATTCACCATATGTAGCAGACTCATGTGACTGTTGTATAAAAGCACCCAGAGGAATTACAGTAGTGTGATGGATACTTCATCTGTTTGCTTCTTTGTTATCTTCTGCAGTAGTTTTCCTGTGAGCAGAACACACACCTCCTTTCTCCAGCCTGCCAGTGATGCCAAAAAGAATTATATATTTTTTTCTTTCTAGATCATTTTTCATGTGGGTATAAGGGGAAATTCTGGGTAGGCAGCTTATTTTAGATTGTTAACAATATTTGCCATGATCCAACCTACTGAAGTATAATCCCAAAAATCCCAAGCACATCTCAGAAGTTCCAGAAACCTTTTAGGAAAAAATTGCATAAACTTGCCATCCTTGCGGAGATAGATCAAAAGCTTTAGCAACCCAAGCCCCTGCTATTTAATTACTTTGACCTATGATTAGGAGGTGTTAGAACTAAACACCTGCAGCTGAATCTACCAGAATTATTCTGTCAGAGCCCTCTTGTAAGGATCCATTGTTGAGCGATGCTTTAAGTCGTCAAAAACTAAACTAAAACTGTGGGAAATTTTGAATTGATGGTAATGATGACATCTTTGGCAGACATGGCTCGATAAAGGAACTTGGCTTAAACTTACAAGGCTTCCATTCATCATTGCTTTTACCACATTATTGCTCTGAGACCTTTGAGTTGTTTATTCTTTGTTTCCTTACTGCTTATTCTGAAAGCAGTCAGTAGGAATGTTGTCAGTGTACATGTGTATATGTTATTTCAAAGCACACTGATAATGTGTACAAATGTCTTTCAGCTAAATGAATCCTGCATCCAAGTTCCTTTCTTGTTGGTCTTCTTTACGTGTATTTTCTGAGCTAGAAATATGCCAGTAATTCTTGCTACTGATCAAGGGATTCTTGATTTTTATGGATTTGATTGGAATGGGGAACGTATGTGGTCCTCTATCCTGACAAGCGCAAAAGAAGACTGAAAGAAGTTGCCACTGTGAACAGACATTGAAGCAAAACCAAACTGGCTAACTACTAAGGATCAATGAAACTGAGATAGTTGTTGCCTTACTTAAGTTCATCCTTGCAAATAAATGTGTTTTCTTTGGATAGGATATCAGCCAGCCCAATTGCTCTGCCATGTCTCAGAAAGCATTTTCTATTGTGGAGAATTTAAATAGGATGTGAAGGATGCTGGTCTAGATTTCCATCAATTATTGCGTTGCTCCTCGCTCTTCCTCCCCTCCATTTCTGCTTGAATTCCTTTTAATAACCTTGTTAAAAACTGGTAAGGCATTGTCACTTGTTCCCCATTAAAGTCAGCTGAGCAATATTGATTCATAACAAATGCAAATTGGTCCATTGAAGTCAATGTTGAATCTCACTTGACAGAAGCCTGTGGTTCTAAGGATTTCTCAGGGCAGCCAGTGTAGCTTATCTTTGCCTACGAAAATGCAGAATAGTTACACAATGCTTTACAAATAACTTGCAGTAATTAATAGAATTTGATGATTTGTTCACATATCCAAGGAACTGTTCAGTGCAGTTTGCTCGAATTGTAAAAATATTTGCTGATTTAATTCACCCCTTTGAAAAATGTAATGTGAGCTAGTAAATTGTCATTTTGTCCTTCAGAACTGTCTAGCATTCAGGATCTGACTGTCACTTTTAATTGCATCCTAAACAACAGATTTAACAGAACTTGAGAAATTTTAATTGCTGATATCCTTAAGTGTGAGATGATGGGTGTAACTGCAACTAGAAGGTTGAAAATTCTGTGATTTGATGTCTTGGTGTAGTTCAGTAGTGTTTAGTCAAATATCTTGATATTTAGACAGTGTTGTCTTCTGTCTGTATTTTGGCTTTGCTTGCCATTGTAGCGTGCAAGTGTTCCACCCAGACTCTAAAAATGATTGAATTTAAACGTGTGTCTGTGCATTTATTATAAGCAGACATGCTACAAATAGAAATAGCTATCATAAATCTAGTGCCATATGAATATAGACATGTACGTGATTACACATCCCCATTCTTGGCTTTTGCCCTCAGAATGCCTTCTGAAGGTCTAAGTTTGAGGATATTGCTTTACTCTGGAAGCCAAGTTTCTTCCCTGCTCTCAGTAAGGTAGCCAGGTTTGAGCTCCTTGTTGCATCTGCAGGGAGACATTTTTTTAAAAATATATTTATCTGCACCAGGCCTGTGATGTCAGGTCATCTGTTTGTCTGCACATCTTTAATCAGATCATCTACTGAAAACATGTGGTTTTATGATAGAGCCAACTGTAATTGTAAGCTAATCTTCTGCCTCTGCACCTTCAGTGCCTTTGGCTTCATGCCTGGTACTACTCTTAATGGTATGTTAATACCAAATAATGCAAAAACATTGCTTCCTTAAGAACTTAATAGGATGTACTGTCATGGAGATAAGTGCTCTGTAACACACACTCTTTTCTTGTGTTTTAGAAAAATGAACTGAAGGATGCTGTGCAAGAAAAGAATCGCCTGAGCCTTCAGTATGCAAATGTGTCACACAAAGCCCTGCAATATGACCAGGTACCAATCCTAAACGCAAAACACATATGTTGATTTGTTACAGTTGTCAGTCTTCAAATTGGATAAAGATGGATTGAGTTAGTCACCTCTAGTTTTTATTTTCTCTTAGAAAACACGAAGTACTTTAATTTAAAATAAGTTACGTATGAATCTGACAAACAAATGTTATTTTCAAGTGAAAAAGACAGACTGGTAGCTGGTACAGAGATTATCCCTGATGCATCTTTCCTTAATATCACTAATTGTATTAGGCTTTGGAAAAAAGATGACTTTTTTTCCAGTAATTTTGATGAGACTTGATTGAAAAAAAATCTCTGATTTTTTCCAAAGAACGCTGACAAGAAGGATTTCTCACTGGCAGTGTCTTTTCCTTCCCTTCTGCATTTTTCCCTTGCACTTCTTTCATTTCTCAATAAAATGTTGAAATGCCATTCATTGTCCAGCAGCGAATTTCACAAATTCTGTTATCAGCTGTTATTTTCCCTGTAGCATGACATATGGCATAAGTCTGTGTCTCAGCTATTCTAGGTCCTGTTTTCCTAGTAAGCTTTTTTCTTTTTCTTTTTCTTTTTTTTTTTTTTTTCCTGTTTCAGGACAAAAGATCTTCCTGAGTACTGAGATTTTTATCTATGGCAAATACTGGGTGGCTTAAGTAGCATGGGCTGACGTGCCTTACCTCATCACATATGTATTCAGTGGAAGAAACATCATGAACCAGCCACTTTACAAGGCTACATTTAGCTAAAAATAAAACTCCAATCTGGGATTTCTACAGGGCTTAAGTGAGTTGCTCAGCAACCTCATTCACATCAGAAGAGCTGTGCTCATACGGATGCTGATGAAAGCCCAAACCCCCAGCCTTGCAAAACGGTGGTGGCTGCATGCTTTGATGTCTCTGACACACGTGTCATAGAGCACTGTATTTCCAAACCAAAGGAGGTCTGACTTAGTCCTAAGACAAAACAAAATAGTGAGATTTAGAGATGGCTGTGCACGTACTCAAAATTTTCCGTGTAGCACCCGATATCAAAGCAGACTGGGAATCTTTAGTTGGTGAGGGTATAAATTATTTTTATATACAAAAGCAGCATGACTGTGTTATACTGGGTGGAAGATGTGGATCATAGAGTTACTCAATTTAATTCATCCATCTATCTGGAATTTCTTCATCTCCTTAATGTTTTTCTCTTTAATGTTGTTTACACACTGCCCCTACTGTTTGGTTCACAAACCACATAAACACTTACATAGGCAGTTTTATATTCTAGCTGGCAAAGAAATAGCATGCAGCATTAATACAGTGAAGGCTTAGTGCTTTGGTGTCAGTAAGAAGATCAGCTCTCTTACTATCAGAAAGTGATGACTTACATGGTTAATAATACCTTATGATAGGTAACGTTTGTTTCTTTCTGAAGTGAACAGCTTGAGAAACACTGAAAAACCTAGTAAAAACAATTTAAATACAAATGTGTGGTATCAACCTTAGTCACACTTAGCTGCTAAGTTATTAATAAAATTACCTTTCACCACTACAATGTCAGGATTTATCATACTATGAATGTTTGTAAAATGCTATGCAGGGCACGTTACAAAAATTCAGTATGTCTGTGCTACTGATTTTTATATCCCAACCTCTGTAGGATCAAAGACTTCCTGTAAGTTACCCTCTCATTTTCAACAGTTTTAAAAATAAATGAGATATGAGGAATTTTGCAGCATACCTTGGCTGTTAACAAACCTTGTTTGTTCCTGCTTGTCTAACAAGATCTGCTGTTTTTTCTTTTTTTTCTGCTTCCCCCATACATAAAATGAGACTGAGGTAGATTGTATGGTTTAGATTATTTCTTACTATTAAGAAAGCGTGAAACTAAACACACATGAATGTTGAATGTAGAAATGCAATGGAGTTAGAGCTCAGCCCTGAAGGGGAAAACCTAGTTTGTTCTTTTCCCCCTCGAGAGCTGACCTGAAAAGCAGGCCAACTTTATCTGAGCAATTGGAGCTGGGAGAATGTTTATGCATTCTGCTGTGTAGCACAGATATAACAACTGCTCATTTATGCACAGTGTAATTGTTGAAATTCAGCTCTAGGAAGGGGCAAGTATGAGTTGTGCTACTTTGGAATAGGAACAAAATTGTGCTTATTTTATGCAGTTTTGTGTTGTTACTCTGCATAAGAGGAACAAAGTTACATTTCTGGTGCAGAGTTCTGGTGAAAAGGTTTGTACCCCTAGAAGTGCAGTGACACCAGGCTTTGCCTTGTTTTCCTGTTCAAGTGAATGTGCATGTTAGTGTTTTTATATAAAAAGAAGGGTCGTTATCTCTTTGGAATCTATTTCTGTGATACCTGATATCATACAATTTTCGTGGTATTTTCTGAATCATTTTTTTCTAAACAGTATCAGTGGTGTGAAAAGTTGACAAATGTCTAGAGTTAGGGCAGAAGTTGCACTTCTGTATTCAGGCACAGTAGTCGTAGCTCAGCATTTGTGATTTATGTACAACACGGTGAATTTGTGAGTGGCAGAGAACATTTTTCAGCCCAAACATGTCAATAGAAGAGAACTATCATTTCTCATAGAATTTCTTTCACCAATTGACTGACAGTTATTCACTGATGTAACAAAAAAAACCCTGCAGTTTATTTTCCTGGTCTGTGTAAGTAGTTTTGGCACTTAAGAGTTCAGAAAGTGAAACATACTTGAGCAGTATTCTGGCCTTCCTAACAGACACAAATGAAGACACATTTAGTAAGTGGGAAGTTGTGAGATGAAAAATAAATTTGTTGATGCATTGAACAGAGAAACATCACAGATCAAAATGTTCCCTAATTTCTGACATGAAATTAGAACTGTTTGTGATGGCACTCAATTTAGGTCAACTGGGAATATTGATGTCTTGATGTGCTCTGTGTAATTCAAGTTCATGTATATGCTGTAAGTTCTTACACTGTGGTAGGGAGCATTGCATTTGCACTTGACAAGTTTTGTCCACACAAAAGCAAACGAACAAAGTATAGACTCATTAAGTTTTATGCTGTTTTATACCATTTAAATACATTTATCATGCTACTCTGTGATATACAACATTCAGAAGAAAAAAGTCCTGGCAATAAGGCCCTGCAGAAATACGTTAGAATTATTAGTGTTGCTGGAAGTAACAAATTAATTATCAGAAGGCAACTGGTAGAATTAGTTGTGTTATTTCTGACCTAGGAAACGAAAATGTACACAGAACATTGCTCAAAGACTGATCTGTTGAAAGTAGAGAATCGGATTATCACTTGGGTGATCTTAAATTTTAATTAGTCTGAGTATGTGCTCTTTGATCCTGAACAAAAATCCTGAGATGTGTAACTGCAACTCTACCTCTCCCTGATTCATTTCCTTCCCAAATTACATTAGCAGCCTGACAGGTGCTGTTTGTTCCTGTAGACCCTTTACTCCCAAAAGGGACGAACGTGTATCAGAATGCTGCCATGATGACCTGCTCCCCAAAATTATTCAGACTGCAGTGATTATTTAGTTTTAGAAGATTCTTTACAAAGGTTGCCAGTATCAAGTATTTCAGAGGCAGAGAAAATTAAAGTCTAAGTAATATTTTCCTGAAGCTTTTCCAAAATATTCTACTTCATTCATTCTCAGTAAATTAACTGAGGATCAGACAATAACAAGCTTGCATCACTGAAGGTGATACTTCATCACTTCTTTTGTTCCACTCCATTGTTCTTCAACAATATACATTGGCTGATCTGAGCAATGAAATACAATTCGAAGGATGCAGGAAGTTAATAGATTATGAAAATCGGTTGTTTAATAGTTTCCTTAGTTATCAAGAAATGAGAAGAGGAGAAGAAAAATCTGTTCATGGGGAAAAAAAGTCCTGAGTTTGATGATATAATTGCATCAGTTCTTGTGGAAAACATGGTTTGTTTCATTTTCTTCTTTCTTTTTTTTCTAGTCCACTGCACTCTAAAGTGCCCTCTTACAAAGACAAATATGAGGTCTGGCTGCAACCATTTAGATTGTTTGGTCCATGGTGAAATTTGCAAATTAACAAACTGTAGCCAGAAGGCAAATAGTCTGAATCAGTTTCCAAAACATCGCTTTGGAAAACATCTCAGAGAGATCCATGTCAGAGATTGCTTAATGCCTTTGGTTCTCAAAGAAAATGGAATTACGGTAATTAGATTGTAAAAAAGAACTTGTCACTTCTCCTAACTGAAGCTAGAAATAAAGATGAGCTACACCTAGATTAAAGCCAGTCTAAGCATTATCCCGATTCTTCATACTGCTTTGCCTGTCCTTATTCAGTAATCCTGCAAACGTTGTTCATGCTTCTACACTTTGTATTGCAGTTAACAAAGGAAAACAGGTACTTCTTGGAACATTGTTCCATGAAAATATTTTTGCTCTTTCTTTTCCTTTCTTACCTCCTATTAGTATTGCAGAGAGGAGAACAGCAGTATTTATGAAACAGAATGTGAACATTTTATGAAGATACGTATTATGGACGACTTTTCATTATTAACATAAAGTTGTTATTCTTGATATGATCTGAGCTGTGTAAGAATCCTAGTGCTGTACATCAGTGTAGCATATAAACTCATAAAATGTTTATGTTATTTCCTATAAATCAGACTGTCATCCATTGCAAAGTCAAGAAATGGCATTTCCATGGTGCAATAAAGTAGTTCATTGTTATATTGTCTTGCTTTCTGTGTGCACTTATAAAATAGTTGATTTTGCTGGTGATCTGTGAAATCCTATGAACATGCTGAAATGGTTAAGTTAGCACCGAATAAATTAAATAGGAAAACAAATCCTATTTGGTGTGTATCTGATCCTTTAAAAACCTGCAGTATTATAGAAACCCTGATTTAAAATACTAGCACAGGCTGATTGTGCACTGTCCCGTATTAGATTTTATCCTGATGTCAATTTAAACTAATGAATAGTTCAGGAGAACTAAAATGTGTGAGCTGTATTTCATACATATGTATGTACCAAAAGCTCAGTCCATTTTTATATAGGAATTGCTTTGATTGTCATCTATTATATTTACTGTATGATACATGTATTTATTCAACTTGAGATCTTTATGCATTGCCACAATTTGGTTGCCAGATTTTAGACCTTTAGAAATGTATTTCCTACAAACTCCTATTTGGGTGCATGCAATTTCCTCACAGGAGAACATTCCCTTCCATCTTCCTTTTATTGTTTCCTTTTTCTTTGAACTTCTTTCCTTTCTCATTTTCATATACAGAAATGTTTTTTTTTTTTTAGATATCCAAAGGTATTCATGGATTAATCGTGTATTTATTGCTGTAGGTGAAGTCAGACTATGACCATCTTAGAGAAACCCTTATCAGAGTAACCAAAGAACGAGATTTGGCTGTAAAGGGAAAACACCAGCTCCAAGCCAAGCTGGAGAACTTAGAGCAGGTCCTAAAGGTATGTATAACACTGTGAAGTCCAGCGGTGCAGTACAATCCTCATATTAATTAATTATAAATTAATGGTGTCTATGGTGTTAATTATAAATTAGTGATGTCTAGCCAGACTTGCTTTCTAAGATGCAGTTGTTGGCGTATCATCAATCTGCTGCTTCCTTTTCGATTTAGAAAAATTCAACAATGTGTTTGTACTCACAAGTGCCTCAGTAGAGGTTTCAGTGTATAGTTGAAGATGCTGTCCTGCTTGTGAGCTGGCAGAGTAGCTTGGAGAGGCTTGAAATCCTACATCTCCTCCTTAAAGCTTGCCCAGACAGATGCAGGTAATTGTGTATTTCATGTGTCCTCAAATGTTCAGGAAATTTGTGGTTTAAGAAATGCTTTGTAGCTTTCCAACCAGTGGAAGGTTTTGAGAAATACTTAACCTAGTTTCTCTGCCAGAAGAGAAGTATAGTTTACGTTCTGTTATCTCAGGATATATCAACAAAGCTGAAAGGGAAAGATGAAAAATTGCTGGATTAGCTAACTCATGGGAATCTTCTGTGCTTCTGAAACAGAAAAGTTCTGATTTTCTGATGTATTCAGCCAGCTTTTCCCTTTCATGTCACTGAAATTGTGCCCACCCATCTGCACGCACAGATGACAAGTCCTTTGAGCAGAAAAGTACTTGGGTGAAAATTAAATTTGCTCCCCATTCAACATCATGTATGAGTTCTGTGTCGGAACAAAACTCTAGTACTTAAAAGCCACTTGAGCTTTCTCAACATTGTTTAGCTGCACATTTTGGAAGTGTAAAAATCTCTGCTGTAAGATGTAGTTAGTTACTTTGTTTTGGTTGCAGCTGTAGGTAGTACAGTGTAAGAAGAGAGTGGGCTGGAGCTAGTAGGGCTATTCATTGTCGCATCTCCCTGCTGCCCATAAGGAAGCTGGAAAAACAAGTGGGATTGTTAAGAGCCATTTCAGAAATGTTTTGTACTACAAATGCCTAGCACAAGTTTTACTGAAAACTGAGATGTCCATGATGTCATCAGTTAATTCTCTGTGGCATAGCAGGATTCCCACCTTTGATCTGAAAAATGCACTGAAAAGGTTCCTTCTTCACAATTTCTTTGAAGGGCAGAGGATTATTTGCCAGTTGTTTTGAAATATGAAGAGACATTACTGTATTTTTCTGTGCTCCTCTAGATATGGATTTGCTTTCTGATGTTAGAATAACATTGTTATGACCTCTAGAAGGGTTGCAAAAACAGAAGTGCAAATGTATATGCTTAAAAAGTTCTAATTTTCCTCACAAATGCTATCAATTACAAGGGCAAATGGATTGCCACCACCTACGCAAGCTGATGGCAATGTGATCATGCAAGCCACTCTTGGAGGAAGGAGAAAGAATTCAGCAGCTCAGAACTTCCTCCTTGCAGATCTTCTAGGGGTCTTTGCAATCTTCCTCCACTCCCCTAACCTGTTCCCTTAGGCTTGGAACAGGAAATGACACCAGCTGATGTGTGGATAGGAAGAATGAAATAGATTGCAGACAGAACCAATTTGTGAGCAGAGTGGGAGGAGAGGGAACATCTTCTGGTTTGGGGGAGATTTAATTGCTGTGCCAAGGAAGGAACAGATGCTGGAGTGAAGAGATCCTTGCTGCTTTGTGTATTAAGTAGATCACAGTAGTACTACAGCACTGTGACTTCTGGGTTAGTGTAGTTGACCAAATGGCCTTAAAATCTGCCAACTATGAATACCACATTGTTATTTAAGGAAACAGAAATTAAAAGTGAGGGAGACTCACAGATCATGTATCACAATCTGTTTCTTTATTACATTTTGTAGATTTGCTGTATGGTCACTGCATTAATTATTTATCGATCTTTCCAAAGGTTTATAAATGTCCTCCAGTAGCTTTTTTAAGAATAGTAAGAACTTAAAACTATTGAAACGCGCTGTACCAAGTCCTCTACTAAATCTTGAATTGAGACTTTTTTTGATATTTAAAGCTTTTCTAGATTAGCAGTGGGAAAATGTCTTGATTGCCTCATCATTTCTTGGATGTGAGTCACGTCATTGTCAAGTCGTACACGAGATTTAATGGAAGCTGCTGAGCTCAGTAAATGTAGCTTCATGCTAATTTAAATACTGAGTGGTGCTAGTCAGCAAAACGGGCTGTTTGTTTAGTTGAGAAGAGAATTGAACCATCAGTTTTGGTTATTAAATAAATAATAAGCATAGTTCAGAAATGTTTACAGCCTCACTATGCTGACCTTCTTTGTTATTTAGTTACATGTAGCAGAGAATTAGCAGCTCCTAAAAAGTCAGCAATATGCTGGATACAGTTTTCTCTTGTATGCAAGAAGAGATATTTTGGCCTGTTGGAAACAACTGCCGCCATCTATTTCTAACTGCATATTCCTAATAGGCTCTGTGTAATAGCTCATGGTGTGCAGATAAGGCATTGTGTCTCAGAGCAGTGTTAGAATATGTAATTTAGAAAACACAAATCTGTAATACCCATTTTGCCAGAAAAGATATCAGAATCTCCAGTGATCTTTCTTAGCTCTGATTTATGAAACAGGGTGTTTGAATGGTACAGTGCTGTTGAGAGAATAATAACCTGTAATGAAAAAGATTTCTATCTAAAAGGGTATCTTGACATTGTTCAGCTTCCCGACAACTGTGCCTCATACTGCTTTGAATCATTACTTGTAACTGTTCATAAAACTATTTTTTAAATACTGTGAAGTCATTTTTTTCTAAATCTGTTTTTGTTTTACTCTGTATGGTTTACCATAACTAATGAGCAGAGAATAGCAAAAGCAAGCTATTTTTGAGGGGTCATCATTTGGAACACAGAAACAAACTCTAGATAATGAGGTATTTAGGGAATTGTCAAGCTAATTTTTTTCCAAGCTTTACTTCAGTTTAGATGTCACGTATAAAAATGCAACTGATGGATAAAAAGACTTCTGTTCACTTAGGCATCATAGAGGCCACACTGCTGGCAGTGACAGTCAGATCTCCTAAAAGAGATTGCTGTCAGAATACCTGAATTTAGCAGTGACAGTATTCATCTTGGTACCGACCAATTTAAGATTCTGTTCAAATTCCCTTTTGTCTGAAAGTGATACCATAATGTTTTTGTGTTGACCGTCTGCAGTCCTGGGACTGGCAGTATGTTTGTCTAAGATATGTTGAATCCCCTGATAGTTTTGTCTTCCACTCTATGAAACAGCATATGCGAGAGGCTGCTGAACGGCGGCAACAGCTGGAGTTGGAGCATGAGCAAGCCTTGGCTGTCCTCAACGCCAAACAGCAGGAAATTGAACTCCTGCAGAAGGTAAGCAAAGGAAATGAAAGTAAGATACAACGGCAAATTGTAGTGATAAAGCAAACATCACAGCAATCACTAGGGTTAAAGAAATTAAATCCACAGCTACATAACTAGTTCCTATTTTCACCCCAAAATCCCAGCCCGTCTTCCTTGCCTTTACATCAAGCTTGGGAATATTTATGTATTCCTTAGAATAGAATCCAGCCTTAATTTTGTGGTAATTGAAATGCAGAGAATCTACCGTTCCCTTCTCAGTTTGATTAACTGGAACAGTTAATCGTTCTCATTGATGTTGAGTTAGGATTTCTTTGGCTTCCTCTTCTTGTCACTGGTGAGTCACACTACTTTTTCCCCTATATTAGATTAATGCAACTCCTTCTCAAGGTCCGTACACATAACAGTTGATCTTTTTCATGAACTAAATGGCTGTTTAAGTACTTCATTGTTACGCTTGTTCTTTGATTTGCAAGTAGACATATTTTATCATGGTGCATCTTCTCAATATTCATTATAATACATAAAAGCATGGTATTGAGTTTCACTTTTGCCAAAGTCATTTGAAGTTGGTTTGGTGTCAATACTAATGCTGATGTTTCCAATTGCTGGAGTAGATCAAAACACAGAAATAATAACACAAATGGTAATTTGAGTAAGTGTTGGCATGGACAGACTTTGTCAGCAGAGAAAAAAATGTACATAGCTACAGTTTTGCTTCCAACAGAATGTTTCGTTTGTCCAAAATATTCCAGTGAATTTTCTTTCAGTCTTTTCTATTTTATCTATTAACCATATTTCAAAACGTCAGTTTTAGCTGCATGTAACTGCCATTATTTGAACCTCCACATAGATTTTGAACTTAAACTTTTTTTTGCTGGTGATGATGGTATTTTGGGATTTTGTTCATTTCCTCTTTTTTTTGTTGTTGTTGGATTTGTGTGTGTGTGCATGCACGTGTTGTTTCTTGCCTTTCCATGCTCAAATTCTTTTCCACTGTGTCACTGTCATGATGGGATGAATCACAGAATTTTAGACTTTAAAAAAATGTGCATTACTAGCAGAGCCTGATGCATATGCAGTCACATTTTGATATTATAAATAACAATTCATTCTCTTCTTTATATGTGTACGAACTCCTCAGATTATCAGCCTAAAAGGAAGAACGTAATATTGTTGATCCAAGTTTTGTGTTCAAGGGAAATCAGGTGGTCTTCTCCAAGAAACCTTAATATAGGGTGGTTTGATGAAAAAGAGAGATAGCTATTGACACAGCTTTCCTAATCATTTATCAAGAACTCATATTCTGGGTGGATTTTATTAAACTTGTAATGATGGATGGCACCAGGCTTTCTATTACCTGCTATGTTCACTAATGCTCTTTGAGCCATTATTTTATCAGGTGCTAGCAATAAGGTGCATCTGTAGTGCAGGAAGAAGTAGGATTGTGTGTCCAGAACCAAAATAGGTTTTATTACCGTGCATTACAGTGAAGCATAGCTTGAGTATGTGGTTTTTGTTGGGACTTTATGGCCTGACCAGCTTCTCTTCCAGCCAGCAAGCAAACATGATGGCCCTTGTGCATGAGGATAAGTTGTTACAGTTGTGTCAGTATCCTTCATTGCTCCAGATTAATCTAGAAAGTTTGTGAGGCATTGCCATGAATGAAGACATTTCTCTGATAAGAAATATTCTGAATGTGATCTTTGATATACAGCAGTGAGAAGTTAACAGGCAAAGTGTGTGCAGTGCACTGCCATCACCCTGATACAAAGGTTAATAAATAATTTTGCTCATCTTGGTCAAGCTTCAATGAAGAAGACAGTGAAAATTTAAATGGAAGTAAAGCAAGGGCAAAAAGAGATACTGAGTGCTGTTTTTTTGTGTTTTTAAGGCTTAGACTTTTCATAAACAAAATTTGATTACTTCTGAGCTATTTCAAACAACCCCTCCATGCTATCATTCACTCCCTCTTTTTTCCTTTGGGCCAGTTGATTGAAGTCTAGATGTTGTACTTCCATTTACAGACAACCTTTCTTATGGTTGTCTTTAAGCGTTTTGTAAGATTCATGCTTCATGTAAAGAATAAGTTTAATTTTTGTGTCACCTTTTTTAGCAGTGTGTTGAGCATGCTTGTCTTGGGCCAAATAAATACTGATGCTATTAACTTTCACTAAGATTCTGTCTCTGAAAATAAGGCAGATATTTTGATGGCTTAGAACTACAGTGCTGGAGTGGATTGCCCAAGCCAGCCCTCCAAGACTGTAGATAGCTTTGGATTTGAGTATATGGTATGCTACTCTTTGTGGTTAGAATATACTATATATGACATGACTAATTAATTTTTCTTTTCATTTTTCTTTTGTTTTTTTTTTCAATTTATATAAATAAGGCTCAGGTTGAAGCTAAGAAGGAACATGAAGGAGCAGTTCAGTTGCTAGAGGTAAGAAGATACCTTTTGTATTACTTGTGGTTATGGAGGTTTCATTCTGAAGGCAATAACTGTATCATCACTTCTGAAAGATTTGATTCTTTAATCCTGCCTCTAATGCTATTGCTGTGTGCCACCCACTGTGGCCTTTCTTAACATTTCCCAACTGAGTGGGAATGAGTGCTGGAATGTGTTTTTGGAATTTGCCAGTGACTAAAGCACTTATTAAGCAAACACTGCTAAATAAATAAAGTTTTTAGAGATTATTCAGGTGATATTCCTTGTATTCCCTTCCCAGGCAGCTGTTTAGAAATGCATGATGTTCCACAGTGCTGTATAAGATAGTACATACAGCAGACATCAAAAGGTCCCTACAGCAAACAGTTCCTTCCTAGATTTTTCAAAGCTAGACTCAACAGATTCTTTAAGTTCCAATTACATCGTTTGACTCACTTGGACAAGTTAAAGTGTCAGGAAATATAGATACAGAAGTAAATAACATGTTTTACATCCAGATTACCTTTTATTTCTTCTTTTCTTCACTTTTTCACACATAATAGGTTTTTTTTATGATAACTAGCAAAGTAGGTTTTTTTGCATGAGGAAAGGAAGAAGCATTAAATACATACTAATGCTTAACATAAATTACTAATCTAAAGAACATACAATGCCACAGATCAAGTATAGCAAATGCATTTGTCAATTTTCACTTAAAAATCTGCTTTTAGTGTTTTTTTTCTCATGGTAGTTTTTCTGTCTGTGTACCTATTGGTCATGTGCTAAATGGAGGTGATCTTTCTGATACATCAATAATCTCTTAAAAAATGTTTAGTTACTTAAAGTAATATGTCCAGTTGAGGGCTTTTGCTCATATGCTTTCATTATTATCATATATATTAAATTTGTGCCTTTAAGAATATAAGATAATAATTTAATATCTGGTGGAAAGTATATGATGCAGGAAAATAAGTAGAAACAAAGGAAGCAAGTGATTATTTACCTCCCTCAAGCTAAACAAAATTCCTATTTAGCTGATTTGTTTGCAAACTGATTTGCGTAACCCCATCAAGGTTTCTTAAGCTTTTGCTTTTTGTTGCCTTAGACCCATTGATTTTATTTATTTATCTGCCTTTTGCAATTCAAGATCAGCAGTGATATTGATTTCTGAAACCTTCTATAGTGTGATTTGCATTAATGCATGTTTGGTTTTTATACCTGTTAACTGTTTCAATGTATTTTACTTTGAAATGCCAAAACAAAAGTGTTCAGAACTGTCTTTATTTCTTTATTTCATATATCTTTGTTTACTGTGTCTTGTTTGGAATTTATTGCTTTGCCCTTCATCCAGAACACCCTGGACAGCATGCAGGTATTTTAGGGCATATATTCTGCATTCCCTGTGCTGAATCCTGCACCTTTCCCCTTACAATGAATACACTAGTCCTGTCTAACCTTGCATGGGATGCGTGCTAAAACCATTGTTATGCAAGCATGCTTGGCATTGATTAGCCTGATAACAAATCATCAAAATCAGATCCTTTTTCTTCAAATATGATATGTTTCAATGAGGAATAAGGTACTGTTTCTGAAAGTAAACTTCTGACAAGCATGCCCACTAAAAATGGTTTGATAGTTTATTCAAGACTGTAGCTTTCAGACTGTGGATTTTGTTTGAATTCAGATTGTTTTGTGATTTGTACAAAGGTTGTTTTATGTTTTCACCTTGGGTTGATTTATTAAGCCCCTTACTGAAAGCCATTGCTTCTACATAAACAGTTAAGCTATGAAATGAATTACCTGAATTCAAACTGTCCACTAGAAAGCTGGTCATCATCTTATCTGTCTTGTGCAAACAATATCTGTCTTGTAATAGATGAAGTCTGCTTTGTTTTGTATTAAGCTCACTGTATTTTATGAGAAACTTCCCAAGTCCTGAGTGAAGTACTTCCAATATGGTCCGCAGTCAAGTGTGCCTTTTCATACAGAAACTGCTATAGGTGTGTTCAGTTTTAGCTAGATCAGGTACACTTTGTGTATTGAGATAGACTTTACAGGCAGTGCCATGATAAAGAACACAAGTTCAGCTGTTCTGAGAGTGGGAGCACATGCTTAGTTCTGCACTGACATGTAAGCACATGGGCTTTCAATAGGAGAGTGTGTCAGGCTAATGAGCAATGAGTCAAGCGCCTCACTGAAGTCAAGAAACAAAGGTGGGTACAGGATGTCTCCTGTTAGTACTGCTGTGGATCTTATGACAGTTTTACTTTATACAGTAACAGCTTTGCGCTCGCTTCTAAGTCTCGACTTCGATTAAAAAGGAAAGCCAAAGAAGGCAAACACTGAGCTGCAAATAATCTCTAAAATAATAAATAACACAATTTTAATTTTTTTTTCAAAAATATGCTTTTATGACAGCCTTAGCATCTTGTTTGGGTCTGGATTGTGATGTTTTTATTTTTTATATTATGCTTGAGTTTCCATAACTGTGTGTAGAAGGGGCAGTACGTATATTAAAGAACTGAGTAGCTTGTTCTAAAACTTCCCATTGGAAAGGGGAGGATCTAAAAACCCGAAGCATTTTACTGCATTGTCCATCTGATGTTCTTTTAAAACTGCATGTAGATGTCTTATTCATGCAGCAAAGTGACAAGTAGCAAAGGCTCACATTTCAGTTGCTGAAAACCACAGTGAAAATATAAAATCAAAGAAAGCACTTAATATTTGTGTAAAACTCCCACAGTATCTCTCTATAGTATTATTATGTTTCATAATCAGTCAGATAGATACACTGAGACTTTTTTAACAGAATTAAATTAATCTGTATTTTTATCAGTTCAAAGAAATGGCATCCTCACAATTCATTGTAGCTGTAAAAATCTATTTATTACAAAAAAGGAACAAGCCAAAGCACAATCTTCAGTGAGAAATTTGGGCTTTTGTGTTCTTTCAGGGACTATAGGGAACATTTTGTTTATCTTTGGTTGTTTCAAGACCCTTGTATTGGTGTTATGTAATAGAGGTAGTTTTATTCCTATGTAGTACGTGCATTTTTTTTTTTCATATGAGCTGAGAAAATCTTCCACTTTCAAGAATAAGAAACTTTTAGTACAGTTGAATGGATCTTATCAATATCCAGCCTTCCTTAGCACAGCTGCTTAACTAGGCATATGCAGTAAAGGGGATTTTAATGAAGGAATGTGATATTTGTTCATCATGAAGTACAAGATTAGGATATAACGCATCAGCTTTCCACAGAAGGAGCCTATTACTGCCTCTGTTGAACTGTGTCTGCTTGCAGTGTTTGGGTCATTGCACATGAGACACGAGTGCTCCCTGTGTCTCAAACATCAGTCTTTTGTCTGGCATATTTCCAGAGCACAGGCCAAATGTTTTGCCCTATAAGAAAATGAGACCTCACAAATGACATTCGCAAGAATTTTGCTCGTTCTTCAGTTTTCTCAGCAGGTATTAATTAATATACTCTTTCTTATCTCTCTGAACAATCTCATTGAGAGTTTTAGTTCTTCAGGAATGCTTGATAGTGTATGCAAGCAGGCTGCTTATAGGCACAGATTGGAATTTAAATGCACTGTATTAAAAACTTCAACATATTCTTAATCCAATTGATGCAGTAATTATGCAGCTTTGGGTGAAATAAAAGGTAGCTTTATGTTTTAGTCTCTTTGCCAATCTTACATTTTCTTAGAATTAAAGTTGTAGAGGAAATCCTGAGTTCCCATGCTCTTTATTGTTCCTCTCAGCCAAGGAATCATTCTTTTCACTTATCCCCTCCATTTTTTCCATGTCAAGATTTCTTAGACTGTATGTAGGCAAATTTCACAAGTCAGCGCAGAAACTTATCCTTGATTATGCTTTGTTACTTCCTGATGCCTCAAAATTAAACAGAAGTGTTTGCCCACAATGATATTTTTGTACTTCTCACAAGCTTGCAAACAATCTCCTCTCGATTGGTGTCTGGATTACTTCTGTGTGGTTTGGCACGTACCATAAGGAACGTTATTTTTGAAAGGGAATTCAGCCAGTAGCTAATCCTACATTCTGCATGAAACACTGTTTTTTGCTGTTCTTGTTGGTTTTTAACATATAAATGTTTATTTAGTAATACAGGATGATTCAACTTATTAGTGAGGATGGGCAAACCTCAGAGAAATACCAAAGATTTTAAAAGTATTGGAAAAGGAAACAAAAGTCACAAAGCTATAGGTTCTTTCTGAAGGTGTTCTTGGCAATGATGTTCTTGGCACTGCCAAAAAAATACGATGAGGAATTTCCACTTTGGAAACTGGGAGTTAAGTATTTATCCCAATATTGCAGAGCTACTAAAAGGTTTTCTTCAAAATGTGGGAACTTAGGGGGATAAAAGAAAATGGAAACAAAAAAAGAAAAAAAAGCCAAACAAACAGTGGGTGCATTTATCTCAAGTAGTTTGCCTATCCTGGATTCCTGGTACTTAACAAAAATTGGCCCCTATTACAGCTTGCTCTGATCTCAGTTAAATGTCTGTGTTTTGTCTTGCTTGTGCAGGCCAAGGTCCGAGAGCTAGAGGAAAAATGCCGGACACAAAGTGAACAATTCAACCTCTTGTCCAGGGAGCTAGAGAAGTTCCGGCAGCAAGCAGGGAAGATTGACCTCCTCAGCAGCAACTCATTGACATCCTCAGATATCTCTGGTTCTCCCAGTAAATCTTTATCCCAGTTAATGAATGGAATAGCCACTTCTTTAGGCAAAGGTAAGGACAAGGATTTTATTTGCAGGTCTGTTCTGCCCTGTAGGCTTCAAGGTGCCATTCAATTATGTAAATAGAGCTTGATTATACAAATGGAAGTTAGAATTTGGACCTAATCTTGTTTTGTGACTTGATTCAATTTCAGAGTATTTCTTACACCTTTACTGAGATTGTTCTAGTTTCATTCAAGTACTGCTTGGAGCAAAATTATCTCTAATCATTCTTAGGTGTCATGGTGAAAAACCTGTTCAGTGTTAAAATGATATATTTCTTATGGAAGTATTTACATACATATATACACACAGCATATAAATGGTTTGTTGGAAAACCTTTCCGGATTCGGGGCAAGAGTTGGTCTGCTCTTTTGTTTAGTTATTCATGGAGAAAGAAAGAATAGAGACACCTGTGTTGTGTTAGCCATTGCATAAAAAGAAATTTGTGGGTAGGGGTGGGCAGTAAATGGGAAAACTGAATGGAACATTTTGAAAGACATGAAAATGTTTTTGGTTTAGTTGTTTGGTTTAGTTATCTGTAGTTACTTAATTAAACCATACAGATGCGTTTAAATTTTTTCCCATGCTTTAATTGGCCGAACACTTAGCTGCTAGGTATCTCAGAAATCAAGAAGTTGCACAAAAACATTGTTGGTGTGAATTTTAGAAGAATTGGAGAATGTAAAATTAAAAAAATAAATCTGTATTGGCGTTCTTATGCATGTATTGTGATGAATGGTCAATGGAGTGTGTTTTGCCCAGATCTGTTTTGAATTCTTGCTAAGCCATCACTGCCTGTTGCCAGAGGCAACTACTCCTCCTAACTACACATCTTTGTTAACTATTCATTATTCATAAGAAACTTCAAGGCAAGAAGTCACCTAAAGACACCTGAGGGGAACTGGCATATAAGTTGTGTTGGACTCTGTGCAACAATCTAATGTTGTTGTTGAAGCTGAGAAATCTACTCACAAACAATTGAAACTTAATATCATCCATGATAGATGATATTTTTACTACTATTTATACAAAGGAAAGCTCTCCTGTTGCCAGGTAATTCCCATAGCTTACAGATTCCCCCAAAACTGTTTTAGAACAGATACAAAGAGGAACTGGACAGACAAAATAGCCTTTTCTTATTAGTATTATTTTTTCTTCCTAAGCTTCTAGGAAAATTCTGAGGCTTAGGGCCTAGAAATCACAAATCATTTCCCTACCACTGTAGATGAGTGCTTATTTTTGGTGAAGGGTGCTGCGCTCAGTGTGAAACCAACTCAAAAGGAGCCAAGGTGACATCCTTCTTTCATTTCGCTTCAATAACTTAGTACTTTGTGTGGCTTAGATTTTGAAATACAACATTTTAGCTGTTAGTGGACTGACTGCTGTGGTACATATAACTCTGTAGGCTTTTCTGGAGCTGCAAATCATAGCCACATGGATATTAAAGTGCATTAAACAGGGAATTTAAAGGACAGCATCTGATGGCTGTAAGAATTTAGTAGAAATTTCCTTAATAACAAGAGGATTAGCTGTTGATGTCTCCAGAGATAAGATTTTCAAACCGATAAATATTTTAAAGTTAAGGTAATCAAGTATGGAAATGTCCATTTAACAACTCATGAAAGTCTGGTCTGTATCTCTGGAGTTCATGTAAATGGCCCTAGACCTCACATAAAAATCAACAGAAGCTTATGGGGTCCTGAGTCAGCCTTTCCATGCTACTTAGTATTTATTGTCAAGTACTAATAGAAATAGAAGACAAACAAAACAAAAATCCAGCAAAAAGTGCTCGACTGGAAACACAAAAAATACAAGATCTGTTCTAAAGACATTTTAGAGCCTTAATCTGTTCATTTTAACCTACTGATTTTTATTCTTCTTAGAGTTCAGGGCTTGTAGCACTGGAGTATAAATGTCAGAAATCCTTGATGATATTTGCTCTCAGTATAAACGCAGTGGTAACAATAAAATGGTGCTTAAAGAAATGGGCAGGATGTCTGATTCTCAAAATCAACTATTCTGAAATAATGATGGTAGTGCTGCAGCAAGTTCTTCAAACAAGAAGAATAATTGTTTGCATTATGTGTGAGGAAGAAAAGAACGTGGGGAAACGCAAGGACAGCTTTCAAAGCAAAGCAAATGGTGGAAATGAGATCAGTCTATGACCAGCTGCTTTGCCTTAATTGGTGATGTTTTTAATGTATCAGGAAATGGAATAACCTAGCCAGAATAGATTAGAACATTAAAGATTCACTCTAAACATATATTATTGTCACAATCCAATAGAAAAACCTTCAAGATTTATTATTCATCAGATAAAAGGTGCATTTAAATGGCCTTTCTAGATCATTTGTGTAGTCCATAATGAACCAGTGGTCCCATAAATAAAATGGCATGTCTAATTGTACTGCATGTATGGTCAGCTTCAGTTCTCTCTGAGTAATTTAAATTAAGTCTGGAGCTCTTCCTTGCCTCCTTCCTTGAAAGGATGTTCAGATTTCCTTGACAGATATCTGCCAGTCATGACAAAATAACAGCTATTTGATGGTCTGTGGATTTTACAAGATTTTACACACAAGAAATGTGGCTTTTTTTTTTTTTTTTTTTTTTTTTTTACATTATTTGATATTTCAAGGAAGAAGATGCATTTCCAGAAACTACTGTGTTTTCTTAAGAACTGATTCCTTGCATTTTTCCTTTTCTAACTGTTAGTTTTGTTCTTAATGCAAAAACAACGGGGAAGATTTTTTTTTTTAATAATGATTTCTAAAATACAGAAAAAAATAACCCCTTGTTGTTATTTACCAGTGTTTCTTTTGAAAGCAATCATTTATTCAGTTTTGTTCATGCCAGGTCATGAAAGTCCTTCTGGAAGTCGTTGTGTAATTTCGGAGTTTATTCGTCCCCTTCAAATATCTGGAGACAAACCAGAACAGTTGTCAGTCAAACCTACATTCCTGTCAAAGTCAAGATCTGGTGCCCCAAGATGCAGATTTGATTCAGACGTGAGTCTTCTTAAATTTCTTGCAGGAAATACATGGTGTGGGGCCAGGATCTCTCTTCTTCCGAGGCTGATGCAGGATCATCCACCAACTTTTAAAAAGAAAAGACATGAAAATTCGTATTTTCTGGGACAAATTGTGATTGTGAGCAGTGGGAATTTCATGAGACTTTCAGAGTCTTAGAATTCTGTGGATGTATGTAAGGCTTATTCACAGTTAAATACAGATGTGTCCCTACCAAGATGAAATGTGGGAGAATTAACTGCTTTTGAATAGGCTGCAAAAAAAAAAAAAAAAGCAGCCCATATTAGTCAAATCAGAAAAGGTAGATTAACAATGAGATTTAGGGAAGCAGAACTAACAGCAAGAAACAGAAAACGTGCATGTCAGATTTAATTCCATCTTTCTATTATTTTTGAGTTATCTCACTGAAAATGTCAAGACCACTTTTGCAGTGTTGCTCATTGTGTGCCTTCTTGAGTGTAATTATGTGATGCATACTTATATTATGCAAGCAAACAGAAATTAAGTCCCATTTTTTTTAATAGGTATCAGGCGTGGGAGGAAGTGTATGGATAAAATCATTAGGAAATAGTCTTTTAAGAAAATAAAATCTAACAGTGGGACACTGCTCTAAAGTCTTACATAATACTATTAAAAAAAAAAAAGATATTTTGTGAAATTCTCTCTGCAACTTCTCTGTTCTTAGTAACAATCTTCTGGAATAAGCATTGGGTAAGTTATGAGCTTTCAGACATCAGGACAATAACCCTTCAAAAGCTGCCCTGCATCTCCAAAGCGACATGGGGGAGAACACTTGATAGCTGTTGTTGTCCACTGAAAGTGGTGTGTTGGCAGGATGGTGTGTACTGTGCTTTCCTAGCAAGCTAACCCATCTCTTAAGAGTTAATTCAGAAGAAAGGTGACTTGCTTCAGTGTTTTTCTGGGGCACCTTTGGTCCATACTGGCAACCAAGCAGGGACACGTTTAGGCCAGAAAGTTGTATTTCAATATTCACTCTGTCCAGACTGTAAAATGATCATCCAGTTTTGGACAATTTACCTGTTTGACTCTAATGTTGATCCTAGTATCTCCTCCTTAATGAAAATCCTCCATATCTTATGGGAAAAGTTCATTTTTCCTGAAAGAGTTCAAAGTAAAGCATGAAATAAGTAAAGTACATTCCTCACTATCTTTTTTACTTACTAAATGATAAACAACCAGTCTGTATTTGGGTCAGTTCTGCAAGCTTTTGAGGAAAATTAATGTCTAGACTCTGATCTTATCTGAATCTTTAGGATGTACCAAGAAATAGTTCAATTTCTTTACCGTGCTGGAATTTGACTTACAATTGCTTTATATTCTAAACCTTTCTAAGTAAAATTAACTGATTTTGATTCATATCAATGTTAATTTTCTCTTCTTAATTACATGTGCTTCAATTTTTTTTTCGTCTGTCAGGAGAATGATGCATGGAACTTTTAGAAATCTTTTTTGTCTTTTTTTTTTTTTTTACAGATGGATAATGATCAGAATTCCAATACCTCGAAGCAGAGATATTCTGGGAAAGTCCATCTTTGTATTGCACGTTATAGGTAACAAACATCATTAGCTGGAGCCAGTTCTTGTTCCTGGTCAAAACCCAAGTGCGAGAACATTTTTAGCAGTGAAGTTTTGGCAGGTGGATCTACAATCTATGTCCCTGCTTTCTTTGAGCACTCTTTGAGTAGTTAAGTAACAGGCTGCAGCTATTCACACTAGAAAAGGGAGAAGATAAGGACTGGAAGAGACCTCCCGAGTGATATCTCCTTAATTCACTTTTCAGAATGGAAATTTAGGCCAGGGTTATATATTAAAAAAAAAAAAAAAAAAAAAAAAAAAAAAGACTGAATTGCCATCTAAGGTAGCCTTAGAACTGTACACCTTTTCATGTTAGTATCCAGTTATGAGGGGTCGTAAGTATACATGCATGTTTTTGATCTGTACTTCTTTGCAGCTACAACCCTTTTGATGGACCAAATGAAAATCCAGAAGCAGAGCTCCCTCTTACAGCAGGAAAGTACCTTTATGTGTATGGAGATATGGATGAAGATGGCTTTTATGAAGGTAGGTTTTTGAATCTGTGTATTCATGCTAATTGATGCAGATTTAAATCAGTTCACCTGTCAAACACACTCCCTGTGCTCTCCTTCATCTACTATCAAATCAGTTGCTAAAATTAGCCGTATCATCATTATGTTAATTAACAGAGTTTCTGTACCAACAAAGCCGCTCTTTGCAGGCAGAGCTAACTATAAGACATTTTATATTGCCAGCTTTTCCTGCTTGGTAGATTTAAGGTGACAAGAAAGCTTACTGGCAGTTCTGGGTTTTTGCTACGCTAAATTTTTACTTTGTCAAACTCCAAATGCTGTTCGTGTACAGTTTTCACCTCTATCTTATCCACTTACCACAGGACATTAACATGCAAGGGCTGTGCTCCTCAAGGACTTCAGTGACGTTTTTCTTTCTCACCAGGGGAGCTTCTAGATGGACAGAGAGGACTGGTCCCTTCAAATTTTGTGGATTTTGTTCAAGACAATGAGACCCGTTTATCGAGCACATTAAGCAGTGAACAAGATCAGAATTTCATCAACCATTCGGGTTCTACTTTGGAAGGAGATATCCTGGAGATAAGTCCACCAAGTCACATAGACTCTAGCGTAATCAGCAACGGTGCAGGGACTCTGGATGTGAACATTGATGAAATTGGAGAAGACATTGTGCCTTATCCTAGAAAAATCACCCTTATTAAACAACTAGCCAAAAGTGTCATTGTGGGCTGGGAGCCGCCAGTAGTGCCACCCGGATGGGGAACCATTAACAGCTATAATGTTCTGGTTGACAAAGAAGTACGGATGAACATAGCCTTGGGAAGCAGAACGAAAGCTCTTATAGAAAAGCTTAACATTTCTACTTGTACATACCGAATCTCAATTCAGAGCATTACAAATAAGGGTAACTCAGATGAACTGCAGTGCACTTTGTTAGTTGGGAAGGACGTCATTGTAGCCCCCTCTAATCTCAAAGTGGACAACATAACCCAGATTTCTGCTGAGCTGTCCTGGCTCCCTACAAATAGTAATTACAGTCATGTCATTTTTCTTAATGAAGAAGAGTTTGACATTGTCAAAGCTGCTAGCTACAAGTACCATTTTTTTAATTTGAAACCCAATATGGCCTACAAGGTGAAAGTCATGGCAAAGCCCCACCAGATGCCCTGGCAGCTTCCCCTAGAACAACGAGAAAAAAAAGAAGCCTTTGTGGAATTTTCTACGTTGCCAGCAGGTTTGGTATCTTTCTCCCTAACTCTCCAGTTATGTGTAAAAATTCCAGATAAAATAGCCTACCCTTTGCTTTATGCTGTAATCAGTGTCGCTTTCATGAACAGGCTGTGGACTATTCGATTGCTTAATGGTACCTATGACTCATTCCTCTCCTGTGTTACTCCCCTTCTTGTTCCTTGGTACATTTTGGGAAGATAAGTTAGAGAAAGACATGCAGAACATCATCACGTGCTAGAATGTATTTATCAGAATAATCTCGTTTTTAATTAGTAGTTTAATTAACTTGTTTTTAATTAATTTAGTTATAGTAGTTCTGGTAGCAATTTTTTATAGTAGTTCTGGTAGCAATTTATTTTTGTTTGTATGGACAGCTCTGGACAGAAACAATTATTATTCTAGCATGTTATTTGTGTATCCAGATGCACTTTTTATGGAGATGATCCATTTCTTCCCTGGAATAGAAAGCAGTATAGATAGCTTAGAGGATCACAGTGATTTAGGGGTGATACAGATGAGTTTTGGTTGTGTGGTTGTAATCACAGGTACAATTTGAATTTGTGGAGGTAGTGAATCGGTTGTGTTTTGAAAAGTCAGGGCCTTTTTTTTTCCCACCTTGCTTTTACATTAGAGATGTAGATAAATTATGAGTCTTCTCCCAGTGAACTGTGATGTAACGTTGAAGACTAGAGCTGAAATAGTGTACTACATTGAAAGGGTAATGTCATGATTTTGGAATGTATGGTAATACCTAAAAATATGAACATCTCTTCTTATAGACTTGTCTAATCAAAGACAATTAGGACATTTACTTTATATTCATACTTCTAGAGCACTGAATGCCCCTGAAACAGAGACAGTCAAGCACAAGTGACTCCTGGCAAGTGAAATTCCAATGACATCTACAGTGCAGTGTGTTGATTGACTCCCCGCTGGGATTCAATTCCAGCAAGGGAGCAGGAATTATTTCTGGCCTCTTCCTTAGGTTGAGTGACTTACATGTAAAGGACACATGCAGGACAGTTGGTTGAACTGAGAGAAGTAATTAAGCTTGTATGTCTTGTATTTGGGCATTTACTGTTTTGATTTCAGTCATTTCAGTGGGATAAGTGGTGATACTATTGCAGCATCTGCTAGGAGGAGAGCATTTTAAACTTTGTACCTGGGAGATGTTGCCTGTACAGTGAATTAAATTTGTTTGACTTCTTTGTTATTTGGGAAATGCCTTTCGAGTGAGATTTTTTCAGGCCAAACTCTTAAGAGTCTTTAACTCCCTCTAGTTGCTGAAGCACGCTAAAGCAATAATGACATGTTCTCTGTTGAGATGCATTGCATTTTTTTAAACCAATCTCTGTTACAGGCTACAAAGGTAGAAATAAACTCTCTGGAGATTGTTTGTTTGAGAGAATGGAAGAAAGGTGTCGTCTCCTGCAAAAGCAGATGAATGTCACTGACAGAGACAAGATACTGGAATAGATCAGTTGCCTTCTTCCTGTAAACTGAAGAATTATGCTGAATTGCTAATACAGGCTGTCAGCAAAATAGGGAAGATGAAACTGGCTCCTAATTCAAAATCTTATCTTGGGAAAAAAGTCGGTTAGGTTAGATTTACTGCTTTGGTCTTGCTAGTTAAAAATACACTAGGTGCAATGGATGTTATAGGGAAAAAAATCATGTTCTGCCTATGGTGTCCTGAACATGACCAGAATTTTATTTCCAAGGATGAAAGGCAGTGATAACAAACCACTGAAATGCACTGATGGTTTGCCAGTGTATCTGGAGGATGAGGCTTGTTTGATATTTACACTTGTATGATGACCTGTTTGGCAGCAGTGAATGCACGCAGAATATTTGTAACTTTCTGTCTCAGATGAACAGAAATTGGAGGTGCTTTGTTCACTGGAAAAAGCAAACTCTCAGCTGCTAAGGTTTGTGTTCTCCCAGCATTTACCCAGGTGTGGCTGCAGCTGAAACCTGCTTCGGAAATGTTTTATCATGAAGCACTTCCCAGTGTTTGATTGTTAAATAACAGAACAGGATGCCTGAAATATTCATGAACTAATAAACTATGATGTTTCACTTTGGTTCCTGTCCAAAGTAGAGCTATTTATAGTAGCTTGATAACGTCTTTTAATTAAGGATGTACTTGGTGTACTATTTCTCTAATGTATGCTAAATGCCTTAAAAAGTTAGTAGATATATATTTTTCTTCACTGCAGATAAAAGATGTTGAATCCAGTTGTCTTTAACCAACATGCTGCTGATTGAAAAGGTTCCAGTTCTGCCTTGCATCCAGTGCACCTTAGTGTCACTGTGCTTCTGACCTGTGGATCTTGACTTGGAGGCACTGATGGTCACTGATGGAAGCAGAATTCCAAAGTCATTTCTGTGAATGCCGCATGCGTTCAGTGCAAAGATACCAAAAAGTCACTTGCTGTCACTTGCAGCCATTTTTCATTAACAGTGTCATTCTGGGTGCCTTTTCCCTCACATTTGTCTATTAACATTTCTGTTCAAAGTAATTAGCAGTTATGCAGCCTGGTGGGATAAAAATTGGAGCAAAGTGCAGCACAATTGCAAACTATGTTGTAAATGGAGCTTAGCTAATGTCTGTAAGGCCCAGGATCAGTTGATGTTGAGTGTATGCTTCTGTTTTTACACTGTAACTTAGCAATGATACTTTGTCTTCTTGAAGAAAATAAGTGCTTTGAGGTCTGTAGTTTCCAACTCTCAAACTGATCTACAGACTCCAGTCTAAGGCTCACTGATGACAAGTCTTGCATGTCTTAGGTCCTCCAGCTCCACCTCAAGATGTTACTGTCCGGGCCGGGTCCACCCAAGCAACCATACAGGTGTCCTGGAAGCCACCAGCCCTGACAGCAACAGGGACCTCCCACGGTGCCAATGTCACAGGCTATGGTGTTTATGCAAAAGGTCAACGGGTGAGTTCCACCATTACAGGTACCATCTGCGCTAGGTGAATTTCTGCTGGCAGGCAAAGGTGGCAATAAATGTGTGATGGCACTTCAATGTCTGCTATGCTTTCTTGCTTTTTATCAGTACTTGTTCTTTTGTTTGTGCTATTTGATCATTAGCACCCTTTCTGTACGCATTTCAGCTTTTGGACAGAAGAGTTGGAAAGAATTAAGAAGACTGGTGCTAATTGTTGTGGTGCCCTAACTTTCACTCCATGTTAAAACGTTGAAGGCTCTTCATCAGTGTGGTTGAAGGGAGGGTAACATATCTTCGTGCTAGTATGTTGCTTATTTGTGTACACAGGTGGCAGAGGTGATCTTTCCAACAGCAGAGAACACATTGGTGGAGCTAATGAGACTAAGAAGTCTTGAAGCAAAGGAAGTTACTGTTCGAACACTCTCTGCACAAGGGGAATCAGTGGACTCTTCTGTTGCTGCCATTCCATCTGACCTACTGGTGCCTCCATCCCCTCTCCCCAGAACTGCTCCCAAATCTAAGCCATTAGCAAGTGCCGGAGCCCCAGAAACCAAAGAAGAACATTTAGGTCCACATGTAAAAATAGATGAGTCATGGGAGCAGACTCGTTCAGCATCCCCTGTTCATGGGCACACACTTGAACCACCTGTCCCTAACTTTCACAGCTCGCTTCAAGGGAGAAGATCTCCATCGCCTAACCGAATACTCCCTCAACCTCAAGGCACACCTGTCCCAAACACTGTTGCAAAAGCCATGGCAAGAGAAGCTGCACAGCGAGTTGCAGAGAGCAATAGGGTAAAGACCAACTTTTTTCTTGCAGCTTTTAGGGCTTGCTTTATTCATTGTAGAGCTTTCCATCAACTATACTTTTTTTTGTAGTATGAACCTTACTTAGCTTCTAATAAATTCCCAGACCTGAAGATCAGTGTTTTGAGAAGCTGTATATTAAAATTCTGTTGTATCTTCAGCAAATATGCCTTTAACCATACAGAGCATTGATCAACCTTTGACCAACAGTAGAAGCTTCATAACTGTACTAGAAATGTTTCCAGAAAATAATTCTGGGAGGGGTTGGGGGAGAATGGGGAGGAAGCCTTTCCTAAAAGGTTAGTCGGGAAAACTAACATTGCTTTAAACCATGAGTATATTAAAGCATTGTGCTTGTGAGTTTTTATGCCTTATTTAGCCATTTCTCCATTGGTTGCAAGATGAAGTCATCTTTACAATTTTCCATTTTTTGTTGGTTTGATAGATGGAGAGGAGGAGTGTTTTTAGTGAAAGGAGCAATGCAGCACAGTACGCTAACTCAGATGATGAGGAAGATGGATATGATTCTCCTAATGTCAAAAGGAGGGGGGCTTCAGTTGATGATTTCTTGAAAGGATCAGAACTTGGAAAGCAAGTGAGTAACCTGGTCTTTTTATTGTGTCAGTTATTTAATATGACATGAGTTATTTTGTGAAGCTCAGCATGATCTTCAGGGCAACTAATTATTGTAACCATAATGGTATAATTGTGTGGCAACAGATTAATGTCCTGTTACTGCTGCATTAGACTTTCTGATGAGAACTGAGTGCTTGGTACCATGTATCTATAGACTGTTATACTACGCAGCTGTTTAAGTACTGGAAATGCTTTTTTTTTAAAAAAAAAAAAGTCACATTTGGGCTCTGGGATTTGGGATTTGTGTATTATTATTGTGTATGAAAGAATGCTGTAATGTTTTGGGGGGAAAGAACGGAAAGAGGGAAGGATTTTTTAAAGCCGTAACCTGTAATGCTAATTAGCAGAAAATCATATATACTTAGGGAAGGATGCTGTAAGGAATAGAAAGATGTAGCAAAAGAATTTTCCACATCTGTGCAGCTTTTAGTTTGATCCAACTCGAAAAAAACAAGAAGTGATTTCATAAGTTACTTTCAAGGGAGTTGTAAATCCTAGCTAGATGCTTTCTTGTGTCTTGGGATGGCTGAAGAATCTTGCTAGCCAGACATCTGACTTCACATTTTGAAGGCTCTGAGCAGTGCCTTTCTTTGTACCACTTCTAAAACCTTGTGGAGTTTTGGCTCAGCTCATCACAGAAGCTCAATTATTTATTTCTGTACAAACATTGCTCCAAATCTCAGCTGTTCCAAATCTGGAGCTTGAGGATTTCATTTAGTGTCATCTTTACACGGAGTGGTTTCCATTTTCTTTTTAAGATATCCAATCATGCTATGCTTACAAAATGTGTTCACGAGTGAGACGCATCTTTACATCTGTATACAATTAAAATGGTTCTAGGTGCAAAGGAACCAAGATTTTTTATCAGGCCTAGTGATCTCACTAAGAAGGCTCAGTGTAAACTGTGCATAGTGTTTGTAGTGGGACAAAGATAAAATTAGGGTTTTTTATGTTAACAAATATATATATCTTTGTACTTGACCAAGTTAAACAAACTTGGGTATATCTACTGTAAGCATACTAAGTTGCTGCAAGTAGACCTTAGATCATCCAAAGATTATTTGGGATGTGTCTGCTTTACTGAGCTCTAAAAACCAATGCAGACAGCTTGGATATGAACATTGAAAGTCAGGGAACCCTTAGATTTATGTTCTTTGAAGCCTGAAGAGATTAAACTTTGCTATCTACTAGTTATGTCCTCAAGGCCAGATTTGAAATCTATCTGGCTTCAAGCCTTCTCAGATATAATTAGAATTTTGTGTGTGTGTGTGAGGCTGAAAGAATTCCTCATTGCTTTAAACACTAAAAATGTGCTCTGAGGAACAGCAGCCAGATTATATCTTGTGAAACAGCTGCAGTGTGTTAAGTGCAAATTGATTATTAAACGTTTGCAGCTTAGTGAGATACACCTATTTGAAGTTTAATTGCTCATTTACGTTGTTTATGAAAGATCACTTTTACCGTGTGGTTTGTTAGTAAAGAAATAATTGGAAAAAAATGGAGAGACGTAATCTGTGGTGGTTTTCTCCATAAGAAATTATTAGTTTGATATTTTTATTGTAATGCCTTTGTGCTGCTGGTATCTTCAAGAATTGCTATTCTGTATTCCGATCTGTAATCAAATGTCTCAGGCTTTGTATCAGTTTACTTGCCTTAATTTATAGATGAGTGGAAAAAAACACCTGCAGATAGATGCAAGTGATGTTAAGGTTTTTCTTCAAGTGTTTGATGAGCATTAGATATGGCCACTCATGGAGATCCTTCACGTTTGGCGTTTTGTGTTTTGGAGGTGGAAATATAGATTATAAGCTCCTCATTTTGAAAATGTCCCATGAGGAAGGGTAGCATGGATCAGAGATCTGAAACAGTTCAGTTATTGCATGTGAAGTTTGTGTGCCCTTTTCCATACAGATTATACAGATACAGATCTTAGGCAGAAGTGCACAATTGTTCCTTATATAATATGTCCTAGTTACGTTTCATAATTTATTTAATTTAGTGCTTGTATTAAAAGATTTCTTTAAATAATTGGGTGGCTGTTTAGCAGGACTCTACTGTTGTTAGTAGCACACTAGATAAGCTGTGGAGGCAACTTGCTAGGTGTGATGGTCCAAGCAAGCATGGATTTATTGCAGCAGTACTGGCATTTGATAATCTGTGAGAGTTTTTTATTCTATTTTGTGATCTCGAGATGTTTTACTGCAGACATTCAGCTTCATTTTAAAATGTATCCTTGGAAATACAATGAGTTTAGTTTATGATCTGGTTTGTTGGACATAGCACTCTGGCTAAGCAGGAATTAAACCAAGGCCACACCTACTTAACAGTTTAGTAGCAATTCAGTGAGACATATATTTTCCTCTTTATCTTCCATCTCATTGGAACTTAAAATATTCAAACTAGTTATAAAAGGCCATTACAACTGTAGCCAGTCCATTCCTGCAATGTTTAACAGAATGAAAGCTTCAAATTCCATCAGCTAGCTATATTATACAATGATGGTAACATGCTGCAATAATTAAGTGCTGATCACTTTTAAATCATTATGTGATGTAACAAACAGCTGTGAAGAACAGATGATATGTGAATTATCCTAGGGCTTTTACAATTTGGTCAGCAAGTCTACTGATGCATGAAGGACCTCTTTAGAGGAATTTCATCAGGACTAAAGCTAGATTTGATGCTCTGAATGCATCTTTTTGGACCACCTATGGATTTGAGACTGGGTTTCTTGAATTAAATGGGAGCATAAATGGAAAAAAAAGGTTTTATTCATAAAACAAAAGAGCAACCTGCATGATGTCATTTACATGCAGTATTACTGTGATGTTCAAACCAAGGAAGTACTTCTGGTCCTCATAGGTGGTTCACAAGGAATTTTAATTTCAGTCATTAAAGATTTTTCTTTCTCATTCTGCTGAATAGCCTCACTATTGCCACGGCGAAGACTACCATACAGAGAGCAGCAGGGGTTCTGATTTGTCTGATATTATGGAGGAAGACGAGGAAGAGCTGTACTCTGAAATGCAGCTGGAGGATGGAGGAAGACGGCGAGTCAGTTTGACTTCACACAATGCACTTAAGGTAAGTGTGACTGCAGGGAAACCTTAAGAGTACCTCTGGGGTTTTTTTCTTCCTTCAAAGCACTTTTTCAGTCAATTACGGATTTTGAAGATGATTAAAAATAAGTGCTGTGTAGACTTAGAATTTGTTTCTTCTCTTTTCTTTTTTTCCCCTCTCCATTGTTGGATATCTACTCTTGTAGCTAGTTGACTGTTTTTCTATATGAAATTGTGGAAGTTGCAGTTTTTGTTCCATATCTGGGATCTTTTTCCTTGTTTATATGACAATATATTGCAAGTACTACTCAAATAACGAGTTGATTATATAAACATGCATACCTATAGGGGGAAAAAAAATCCACCTACAACAATTTAGGCTTTTCATATCAGATGTGTTTTTTCCTATTTTCAGTGCCATCTCTTTCTCTGACTTCAAAGCACACTTGTAAGAAGGAGATTTGGGGTAATTAAGGAATCACCAAACAGGAAATAAGTGTCAGAAATTCCGTTTTAACACTGTATAAGAATATTAATCATGAAAGACAACAATTAGATATATGCAGAACACTGAGCTTACTGAATGCAGAGCGTGCATTTCCCATAGTATGTCTGCTCGTGTAAACTGTATTTGCTTTTTATGTGTGTATCGATTACACTAAATTCTTCTCTTAGCAAGCTGGATAACCTGAATGATAAGGAAAACCACAGGTGGATTTTTCTTCTAGTATTTAGTTGTTTAACAAAAAAACAGTGCTATTTTCACACACATAAAAGAATTGTGACCATCGAAACTGCTTTCGTGTACTGTAAACTCAGCCCTTCTATTCTGACACTATCTGGAATGAGAGGGGTACTTTTTCAAAACAAAACTAATGGGTGTTTCAGTTTTTCTGCTATCATAAAGGTTGAATCTGAAATCCTTCTGCATGCTGCTTCTGACCCTTCCTCTAGAGAAAAAGTAAATTGTCCTCAGACTGTTCTTGTGATTCATGCTTCAGAAACGATACCTATTCCTTAGTTTTATGATAGTATCGCTAATTTTTGATATCTAACCAGGCCCTTAATTGGTGTGATAAGTCATTCTAGACATTTTGAATTCTGCTGGCATACCTCTGTTTATGTTGTGGTCTATGTGGAAGGTGTGGTGCTTAATCTGCAGAAGCAGAACTCAGTGTGTGAGTGCTTCCTGGGGAAGGGCTCATGGATGTCGGAGTCCCACGTGGAGAATATTACCCACTGTATTGTTAGGGTTTTGGATACATGCTTCACATCAGATTCTGATCCCAAAGTGCTCAGTAATTTCCCCTTCTTTCACGAGATCCAATTTTGCTTTTCAGCAGCAGTAGTTAGTTAACGGCAACAAAAAAAAGCATATTTACTAGGTTTTCCATAATGTAAACAGGTTTGTGTTCCTCTTGCATCTGAAAGTATGCCAACCATGCACTTTCAGCTGTAATTATTTTCTCCTAAGGAAATAGATATTCTCAAGTAACAAGAAAATGTTTTGCATGCAGGTAAATTCTTGCTTTATTGTGAGATTGTTATTTCCTCCAGTGGTTCCTTAAAACAAAGGCAGGTGTCAGTGATAAAGGGAAGACTGAGCTAACTTACCAAATCTGAGTATTCTAAAATGAGGAATACTTGAACTCAGACAAAACTTCCTGCTCATATCTATTGACTTTTTCGTGTTTCTATGGCAGTTTGTCATAAAAGTTTCATGGGACTGATGCACGTTTATAACTTAAGACAGATCAGACATACATTGTCTCTCCTTGGAGTCCAGCAAAGATGCTACATAGGTTTCTTCTGTCCCACCAACGTGTGTTTAGTGTAATTACAACACAAAAATGTCAAAAGCATTATTGTGTTCAGAATGCTTATTTTATTCAAGATGGGATAGTTTGTACCCACTTCTGGTATAAACAGAGACTTTTACTTAGTTCTACTAATAGGCTGATTTTCAAATACTGGCTTTATCAAGCAGGTACAAGATTATGATGGGAGATTTGAGGACAGTGCCAGACCAAGGGGCATCAGAGAGCAGCCAGCTTCTCTGGCTTCTTTCTCTGGAGGCCAAGCTTTGAAAATGATGCTTTTTTTAATATTTTTTTTTTTTTTAATTTTCTAAAGGAATCTAAAGCTTCTTTAATGATGTTTGCAGAATTTCTCTACTGTGGCAGGAGTTCTAGGGATATTTGGTACTAATATAGGATAATATAATAGATGCAAAGCAAGAAAGCTTGTTAGAACAGAATTTTCATTCTCAGATATGGGTTCTGGCTACAAAGAAAAATTAAATTCCAGTTTGTCATGTGGTAAGGATCATACTCAGCACTAGTGCCATGTTTTAATGCCATTCTCATTCACCACGCTGGAATCTGTATGCAGCTTCTGTTGCTTTGTTTTAGATGCATGGGTTTGTTCTTGTTAGAGCATCGCTCAGTTGTTTGTACTGACTCCTCGTGGTATCTGACACACAGAAACTTTCTTAATCATGTCTTTATTTTTCACAGATTCTCATTCAAAGCATGACATCCTTTTCACTTAATAAGCTGCATGTCTTATGTTTGCCATTGCTCTAAAACTAATTCTGTCTTTATTTTTCTTTTCTTCTCCCTTTTCCCTCCCATTTTATTTTTGTCACACACTCTTTATTCCCTCTCTGGTTTTTAACATTACATAATCTTAAGGAGTGCAATAAGAATAAGACCACTGACGCCACTTTTTTGGAACAGCCTGACTTTTCACAGCAGATACATCACAGTAAAAAGCTGTTCAGTATTCCAGAAGTAGCTGAAGAGGATGGTGAATACTCTGAACTGCTGTACAAGCAGGGTTTAGGTATGCCCTATAAAAAGAAATCCACAATAGCTAGAGACTCTAGACCACCTAGGCCCTACAATCAAGATCAGCAGCACAACTTCTGGTACCCAGCCAAGCACAGAATTTCAGACATGGAGGATTTTGCTGCAGATGACAAAGGATGCAAATATAGCCGGTCCTTATCAAGAAGCCCAGACAGTGGACTGGACTGTGGAAGTGAAGAAGAGGAATCTCGTTTTACGTTCAGATACACTTGCGATTCAGTTTCTGCCAGTGTTGCATCTAGCTGTTGTGCAGACACTGCTGATTGTTCCTGCAGGAAAAGCATGAGGCCATTGCTTGCTCGCAGGAAAACTTTAACAAGGCAAACCAGCATTGAAGAAGATTTTGGTGACTTGGGATCTTCCTTTGTAGAGCCCAGGAGTGAACAGGTCAAGTCCAGTTACGAGAAAAAGTATGAGACTCAGAAATGTAATAGACCAGATAATTTGTCCAATGAAGATGTTCAGGGAGGCTGGAAGAACGACTTAAAAATGGCTGACTCTAGGGCAGCTGGTCCTCTTGCAAAGTCATCCCACAGAGATGCAGAAGACTCTTTGGTGTGTGAAGTAAATCTTCCTTCTAACATCTGCTTGCCAAATCAGTTTTCTTTCTCTTGTATTTTTTTCTGTTGGTTTTGTTTTATGGGTTTTTTTTCTGAATTAATTTTTAGAGTCCATCCTTTGGACCTGTCTGCTGCATTTTTCCCATTTTTTTCCTCCCCATTCATTTTTGTTTATTATTCTGCGTTTTGCTTTACAGTCATCTTTTATGTCATGCTAAAATCAGTTTAATTTGCTTTACAACAATTTTCCCACAGAAAAAAATTACAATAATGGCTGCTTTTGTTAAAGGACAACTGAATCTAAATTTTAATTAAGGGTTAGCTGAACTACAATTTTTCCCAAAGAATGTTTTACTTTATTTTGCCCATCCAAATGTTGCTTTAAAAAAAAAAACAACAACAAAAAAAAAAAAAACAAAAAAAAAACCACTGCATTTTAACTGGAAAAATATTTCATCAGTAATTTTTATTTTAAATATCTCAAAGAATCCATTTCGTCATATTCTTTTTGTTCATCTCACTCACTGAATTTTGAGGATGTGCTCTTTATCATGAATCATCTGTGGACAATCAAGACTCCCCAGTGTAACAGTGACCCACGTTTGTTGAGTCACAGGTTTCATCATATTTCCATTTCCTCCCTTCTCTCTGCGCTGTTGCCACTTCGACTTCCTTTTTAGATCATCTCTTCTTGCCTTTGAAGTTGCAGTCTGCATCTCTGCATGAGAATGCAGGCAAACAGCTTCTTCGAAAGGGAGAGGACAGGGCTGTTCCATACCTTTCAAGGATGCCTCTGTGTAATCCTGCCTAATTGTGTTTCTGTCCATTAGTCTGGCAGTCTCTGTGCTTTTATAGCTGTATCCATAGGCTTCCCAGCTCCCAAAAGTTCAAACACGTTCTTTGCCCGCCCTGTGTGCAGCAGTCCAGAGTGGAAACCACAGATCAAGCGTGTTTCATAGAACAGTAGAAATCAGCTGCCTGCTCTTCTAGCCCAGCAGTCTATTCTGAAATGATCCTTAAAGATTTCTCCCATTAAAACCGATCCCCAAGCTGTATTAATCTCAGTGGCTGCATGATGAACTCTGGAGAGCATTAAAATAGTATCATTTCATTATTAAAGTAGCAGTGTTTTCTGCAAGGGTAATGAACAGAGGGAGACAGCTGTGATGTGAGATGAAATGTGTCTACATTCCCTTCTACATGTTTCAAGAACATCTAAAAGGCTTTAACAATCAAAAGCCATTATAGAAAAGCAGCGTGCTCAAAGGCAGAAGGATGTATACTTGTTCACATGCTGCAAACTGGTCAAAGCTGCACAGCTGACAACAAAAAATTGCTTGCCTTTTCAGTGCAGTCCAATATCATGAACTCTCGTGACTGGTCGCATGACTCTTCAGGAGGTTATGATGTCATTTTAGCAGCAACAACAAAGGCAAAAGAATGTTTCCAAAATTCTTTTCTTTTCTTTTTGTTCTGGTGTGTGACTACTGGTTGCAAAACTGCCATAAATCAGGGAACCATTTTTGCTTTTGCAGGTTTGCCAGGCAACAGTATTTACTTTTCAGCTAACCTTTGAGTTAAAAACTAAGTTTAGTTGCCTTTAGAGCTTTTGCTTCCAAATATGATTGACCTGATTAATGTCCAACCATGTAACCATAATGTTATCATGCATGTAATTTACAAACCTGTTTTTTCTTTTGTTGTTTTTTTAGCTTTTAGGTAATCCATCATCTGCAGGACGGCCTGAAAGGGTGGAGCATGCAGGGCGAAGGTCCTCTCATGGCAGTGCAGTGCCACAAAGGTCTCGACCAATGTTGGTCCCTTCCATTGGTTAGTTGGACAGATTGGTGCATTTCTGTTCTTTGCAGCCTCAGAGTTGGGGAGGCGATCCTTACAAAGGACACTTGTCTTGAGCGATGGGGTGAGATGGAACTAAAAGCTTCTCCATCTAAATACGAGCTAAATATAAGTGCACTAATATAAGTGTCTCATGGGGGCTGAATTGCTAGGCACTGACATCACTGGGATTATTTTCATTGAATTTAATGGGTGTTGCTGGGTGTTGCTTGGGTTAGATGCTGTTAAATCTTACCTAAAAAAAATAATAATAATAATAATAATGCAGGCAGAAATCCCACCAGTAAAATAAATGTACTCATTTGATGATCCATTCAGCCATCCATCTTCCCATTCATCAACCGTCATTTTGCATTTACTTTCCATTTTCTTGACTACTTTTTGGAATTCACCAGGAGAAAATTGAAGCTCTTAAATGTAACAAGTTGGTAGAACTTGCATATGTTTACTATATTTCATCTCTATTTCTGGCTTATTTATGACTTAAAATTTATTCTGGTGTATACCAGGAAATCCAAAAAGTCGTGCAGAAAAGATAATGGAATCAAGATAATATGGCCAAATACATATTTGTAAAACTTGCACTCTATGCTGACAAATAAGGAACATTCAGACTGAAAAATCAGGAAACACATGCAAAACAAATGCAGCAAGAGTAATGTGAGCTGTGAGCAGAACATTACTCCACGAAGATGTAAAATCAGTCTCGTTCTTGTCCCTAAACCATGCTTTAATTTTTGAACACTGTTCACATCAGCAGCAGGAGCAGAAAGCAGTGTTAGGCAGTTCTCATCTGGCATCTGTGTGGATGAGAGGCATCACCAATGGGGATTATCAGAAGGAAAGAGACTGATCATAAAGGAGTGCTTTTTTTAAAAAAAAATACTGAATAATTTTCCCTTTTTATGAGCTTACACTAAAATGCCAGTGCTGTCAAAAAATAAAAAAAATAAATAAAAGCAAAATCCCCTTATTGGGCACAATTATTTTGATACTTGTTATCGGGAGTTATTATTAGTGCAACTGTAGGTCACAGTACACACAGCTGTAATACAAGAAACTGCCTTAATAGCTGCAGTGTAACAACATGGTTTGTCAGAGGCCTGATTCTCTCCCCACATCCTGCTATAAACCAGGATCATACAGATATTAATGGAATAACTCTGATGTGAAAATTGCATAGAGGAGAATCGGTTCCAGGGAGGCTCCTGTGCTTCTGTTGACAGGCTGCTGTTAGCTGAACCAAACAGCATTCAGATGGTGGTGGTAGGACTGTTAAATTGTCACGTCTTTTTTCTTTCTTGTCCAAAAGCAGCCTTTTTTTTCTTCAAGAGTAAAGATTCTGTTTACATTTGGACTACTTAAGCCAAGTATCTAATTTTTTTATATAAATAGTGAGAGAGTAGGCAGGCTTGTTTGAATTAGTACTTTGGGTTTCCTCTTAATTAAAAAATAGGGAAGTAATTTGCCAGAGTTCACTTTCTGTCAACAAAGTGAGGACACAAATGGCAGCAAGTCATGACTGCTCTTTAGCGATTCAGTAGCAATCAATGAGGAGTCAGATAAAGAAATTAATTGCTTATAATCAATCAAACATTATTAAACAGAATCTTAAGTCCTACATTTGTTCTCCTTCAGTGCAACTTAAAGTATAAAAGGCTGAGATATCAAAAGGCCTGACTTCTGACTAAAAAAATTGGCAATTAAAATAGCTGGGAGACATTTCTCACTTCCAGCATCACACTGAAGTAAAACACTCTGAGAATAGACAAGGGAGATATAAACACTGGATAAAACTCTGCACAAAGTTTGCTTCCTACAAGTTTACTGGACGAAATTGTAGAAGATATGAAATGTCCCAGTTAAATGTATTTAACTCATTTATCAATAAAGCAAGTTAAAATTATGCTGTCCAAAATCATACAGTAGAGGATTGCATAAACTTGAACTAACTTTCAGAACTTCCACTGACACAGAAATTTCCCATGAATAAGGGCTGCACATAGGATATTGGAAGAATGAAATTACTGTAGTTCTACCATTACAATATGCCAAAGTTTGGACTGCTTAAATATATGAAACTATTTTATTGGCTTCAGTATACTGCTCCAAAATGTGGATCCCAATTGTCTTGGCAGCAGCTTGTTCTTTTACCTGTGTGCCTGGAGCATTTACTGAGTTATTCTGCATCACTTACTACAGGAAGTTCTTAAAGCAGCTCTGGAAGGTTACATGAGTGGGAAAGAACTTCAGTGCTATAATATTGTCAGGATTCCAAAGATAAGTCTTTCTTCAGATTTTCCAAAATGTAAATTATTTGAGGTATTTTCTCCATTAAGCTATAAATACTTTGGATTAGTTATTGTTGAAGGTAGGATTTAAGTAAATTAATTAATTTTTGTTTTTAGGTTGATACTTTAGAAGGTGAAACACAGTTTACAGTGCTCTTGACCTTGCAGATCGGTCAGGTAGGATTATTTGAACCTCGTAATAAAAGATGATTCCTATCCAAAGATCTAACTGATAATATTTACCCTGTTTGAATTTTAAAAAGCACAAAATTTAGAAGCTTTTAAAAAGGAGATACACCTTTCTGTGATTCCCCTGCTGAAGGAGGATCTCTAGAAGCTGAGGCGTCTGGCAAAGCTTCCCCAGCGTTTAGCCTTCCTACTCTATGCCAGTCAGAAGCAGGTAGGGCAAAGCCTGCCCACAGGAGCCTCCACAAAGGCAACAGTGCGATATGTTTAATAGATCATTCCCTTTTTCTCCATAGAAATTACAATGGACAGTAACAGTGAAGGCGGGCGGTCTCGGTCAGGTAGTGAGGGAAATATTTCACCTGTAAAAGAAGAAGCTTATTATCGCAGCATTGGTGGACACAAGAAATGGCCTCAGCAGCGTACCTCTGAATATAGATACGGTATGCCGAACATTATTCCTCCTTTGTGACAGACACCTTGTAGAGCTGCGTGTTAACAAGTGCGGTTTCTGTATGACAACATTGCATGCAATGCAGAATGCCAGGGGAATAGCTCTTAAATCCTGTCTGCTGCCAGGTAAGTTTCTCCAACTCAGATGTGAGGGACAAACAGCCCTTAGCTCTCTGTCCCGAAACTGCTGTGCAGCCAGCCACCTCTCCATCCTTGGCTGCGTCCAAGCACACTGCGTTGCATGAACCTTTGTGAAGCTACCTCTGCTGCTACTAATGCCAGTCAGTATCTCCTGCACATACCTGAACAGCCATTCATCAGAATGAGCACGCTTCCATACAGGCTGGAGAGGGTCAGCTGTTATGTCACAACCCAGCGTTTGATAATAGGAGAACTGATGGTATTTGTTGCTTCATCAACATAGAAACCATTACATGATCAACAACTCAGTTTTCATAGTTCATAACTCAGTGAATTGGAGTGTCTTTACATTTAACCTATAAGAGCAGCCTAGGTCATATATAGAGTAGGAAACACTTTTTTCTTTATTTCCTCATTTCTGGATGAAGAAAATGGGCCCTGAAAATTTAAGCAAATAGTGATTGACTGTTCAAAACATGGCTTGCTTGCAGTCACCAACTTGTGTAAATCAGTGTCTAGTAATGAATTCAATGCAATGGTGGTAAATTGCAGCAGCTGGGAATCTGGCTGGCTGCATCCAAAGACTAAGAATTTACATACACAGTTGTATGTGTGTATGCGTAGTACATGTCTCTGCAGAGAAATAAGATTTGTAGCTAATGAGCTAATGCTTTCTCATTCAGTGAAGCAAACGTTGACTGTTTTGATTCAGATTATTACAGGCCAGTGCTTTTAACTGAGGTATGTTTGGCTATACTTTGTGTTTGCACCTAATTCCCATTAACTGCAGTCAAAGTAGGATGCAACAATCTGTAGTTTAAAACGAACGAACAAGAAGTCCCACCTTTAACCCATCAGTTTCATATTACCTGTTGGGCATGAGTACAAACCACATGCAGACTGCAGACTGACTGTGAGAGAACACAACAGAGGAATCCCACCCTTTGTGTCCCATTGCTTTCTGTCCCATACGTGCATTTCTCCCTGACTTCCTTTCTGTGCTTTGTGTCTGCATAAAGCTTCTTGGCTGGAACTTTTCCCTGCCCTTTTGCTGTTTTGCATTTTTTCCTTACTCACATTATTTCTTGTTATCTGGACCCAAGAGTCAGTAGCTGTTCCCTTAAAGCTGCGACCCTCTGAAAATATTTTCTGGTAGTTTAAACATCTCAAACATTGAATTTAATCTGGAGTTGTGGCAAAAAGAGAAATTTTAATCGCAATATTACCTACTGAATATTTAAACTATTAAGAGAAATTCCTCGTAAGAGATTATTACAGTTAAAATTGTATTTGGGGAAACACTGATATAGCTACTACATTTTCATTGTTCATAATTTCACATTCTCTAATCTTGTGAAAGATCTTGTAAACTAAATGATCAGTGTTGGTTTAGCAAAGAGTAAAAGTGTGTGGCTCCCATTTGAGTGAGTGGGACCTGCACAATAAGTTTTACTGAAGTGGTCTGTGATTTTAAGTGCTTTATTTTGGGGTCTGAGGCTTCATGTATGTTGAAAGAGCATGTTTGTTTCTGCTGTTCTGTTTTTGTTTCTGTGGAAGTGCTGCCATGTGCTCTTTCAGAGCAGAATTTTAAAATGTTTGAAACCTGTCAATCAAAGCACTCACTGTCAGCTTTTCTGGCCTAGTTTTCTAACTCAGTTTTACTGAAGTTCATCCTCAAGTGTGTTGTTGATTCATGGACTAAATGAATTCTCCAGGTAACCTGAACAGTATGAAAGCTATGAGAAATGAAAAGCTAGTCTTCACCTTTAATATCCTAATTGATTGGATACCTTGCAGTGGACTGGCTGCAGTACAGTGGCAAGTACTGTGATACTCATGGATGATCATGGATGATCATTTCTACCAAGCCTATAATTAAATGCAGTCATAGCTAACCACTGTTCCTGGATTTTATCACATTTTTATAGTGTTTGTGTTGGTTTGAGGCACTGCTGGCTATGTTAACTGACTCTCTTTAAACAAAATAGTAGTGTAGTTCCAACCCTGGCATAATTTAACACTGCTGCACTATGTATCCTCCTACCTGTCTGGAGAGAAGAGATTAGAACTGTGTTTTAAACCCTGCACCAAAAGCATGGTATGTCAGCACAGCTGGGATGTGCTTTCTTATGTTTTGAAGAACAGAAGCAGCTGTGCTGGAAAATAGTTGGATCAAAAGCATGGTTATTTTTGCAGCAATGGCAAAACCTGTCATTCTGTCACTCTTAAGGTGCTACTCTCATTTGCAGCAAACTATAGTAAACCTAAAAAAAAAGCCAATTGTTTTGTTGAGCTGTATTCACTTGTGTAAATGTTAGTGTGGTGTGCAGATCAGCAAACCATTCAGTGCAAGCAGATGATGAATATACTTTAAAAAAAAAAATTAGTCTTACTGTTAAAAAAAAATGTTGAACATGGTAGGACATGCATTGAGTTTTCACTGAAATGCCCAATACGTTTTAAATATTAACTGGAATAGTTGAAGAATGAAGCCAACTTGTATTACTGAGTTGTTGTTTTCTGAATTTACTTTCATAGATGGCTATGGTGGCCATGACCATCTTTCTCCAGATACGTATGAAGAATCAGAAACAGATCCTGGGACAGAAGACCTTTCTACTCGAATATTTGTTGCACTCTTTGACTACGACCCGCTGACAATGTCCCCAAATCCTGATGCTGCAGAAGAAGAGCTGCCATTTAAAGAAGGGCAGATCATTAAGGTGAGATCTAAAGACAAACAGGGCTAAAACAAGGTGTGCTTTGTTCCTACTGGAGAAAACAGCTTGTGTGACTAGAGACCAAGATTATTTTTTTTGTTCTCCAAGGTTCTGCCTGTAAATCTTGTTGGATTTGGAACCTAACACCTCCTGCTAAGGGCTTCAAAATGATTAGGTAATGGGCAAAAAGCTCAAAGTTGCCTTAGGTAGTTATGGCCAGAGTTGCATGCTGTGACAGAAGCCCCCTATGTCCATTGCTACAAAGCCTACAGAGAAAACTGCTAAAGGAAATTGTCCTCCAAAGGTACTGTGAAAGTGCTTAGAGTACCTACAGCTGCTGTATCAAGGTTCAAAATCAGGTGTCTCTTTTCCAGAGTCTTCCTCTTTGAAACTGGAAAAGTTCTTTTCTGACTGATCAGTGTAAGGTGCAAAAGCTGATCCTTGAAGAGGCAGCAGAAGAAACATCAGCTCTGTTCCAGGTGGCAGTGACAGTGTTATGCTCCATCCGTGTCTTTATTCATGCCCTCTATCACAGCTTGCCTCATTATGATTGTGCAGCTGCAAGGCAAATTTGCTCAGCTTGCTATTCAGATTTTAAAAAGCTGGCAGATTTTTTAGTTGAACCAGCAGATGTAAGCATTTCCTCCTACAACCTTGTATCTAAGCTGGTGCAAAATGGGTGGAAATGAGGAAGGGGAGAGGTGGGGCTTCTGGTACTCAGAAGTTTAACTGAGATTTAAGTATTATCTGAAATTGAACCTGAAAAAATATAGACTCACTTTTCACAGTACATGCTTGAAAGATATAATTAATTGTAACTTAAACTATTAAAATATTTACTTCTTTCCACTGTGTTGGATTGCATCCTGTCTGTATACAAAATAATAAACATTTAACGTTAAATACTTCAGATCTTTTGCTTACCTCCTCACTGATACAAATTTATGCCAAAGATATGGAAATTGTTTAAGAACTTTTCTCTGCTGCAATATTTATTTGATAATTACCAAATTTTTTATTTAAACTATTTCCTCACTAATATGTACATGTTTGCCACTGAAATGTCTGGAGAGACCCTATGTAAGTTATTTATGCTGACTGATGTTTAGTTTCTGTCTGGGTCCGTGGTAATTATTATGCAATCTGCATTTTATTTCTCATGACATTGATGTGAATGTGACTTAGTTTGCATTTCCAAATTGCTTTTCACACATCACCTGAGCTTTGGGGTGGTGGTGGGTCAGTTCCATCATGAGCTGTGTGAATGTCCTGTCCATGCATTGCAGTCACAGATGCTGCACTGTGAAGTAGCAATGTGCCAGGTGAGTGGTTGAAACTGAAAACATTCCTGCTCTATAAAGTTACAGCTGATGAAAGGTCACTTTTTCCAACTCTGATTTGAACGGAAGCGATTGGATTTTTTTTGTTTTTAATAAAAAGAAATAAGGAAATTATTTTGCCTAAACAAGAAATAAACTAAAATTAATCATCAGTTCTGCCTTAAAGCCATCATTTTTGTGTGGTACAATCTTAGATAAAGGCCTGTCATTGGCAAACATGAATTTTTAGAAGGCAGAAATTTTATTTAGCTGTTCTGACTGATGGAGACTCGTGCTATTTTTGTAGCTTAATTCATGTTTCCTAGGAAAGCTGTTGGCTTTCAGTGTTGCCACTGAATTTTGTGCTTTTTTAATGCTAACAGAAAAGTCCCATTTCTGCTTCGAAATCAAAATTCAAAGTAACCTAACGGTTTCAGTTCTTTAATTTAAATCGCATCAGTAAAAACTAATATAATCTTACATTTGAACTGTAATCATCTGTGCCTTGGGAACCATTTTGCCTTCATAAAGAATCCTAAATGCTAAAACTTTATTGACCGACATTATTATTATTTAAATAACAGGTTTATGGGGACAAAGATGCTGATGGATTCTATCGTGGAGAAACGTGCACAAGGATCGGCCTTATCCCATGTAACATGGTCTCTGAGATCCAAGCAGATGATGAGGAGATGATGGATCAGCTTCTAAAACAAGGTTTTCTTCCTTTGAACACACCAGTAGAGAAAATAGGTAAGGAGCAATATATGTGCATCAGTTCACATATTCTTGGGTGCTGTTAACTTGGCTGGATCTGCTTTGCCTTTTGTTTTTATTATATGCAGATGCATCTAAATTCTGCAGCAATTTCCTACATTGAGGGATACATTCTGTGTCAGTAACTGGATGACTTGATTCAATATTTAATCTTGGTCACACCTTTTGCTGCAAAGAAGGTTTTCTATCTTCACTACCCTGGCATTTTTTTACAACTTTTTCCTTACCTGAAAGACACAGAACAAGATCCCTGTGCTTTGGAGCGTGCTGTGCTGAGGTGCCTTGTGATATGTATGCTCACTGCTGCAAAGCATACAACGAATCACTTATTTGTCATTATTTATACTCTTCTACGTTTTCCTACTTTACCAATAATTTAAAGGGATTGTGGCAAAGGGTTATGTGTAATGTAATTTGGGACAGCACTACATATTGTGAGATTTAATGGATTTTGCAGTAACAAACCCCTTAAAAAGCAGATTGGCCAAATGATTCCGTTGCGAACCACTTGCATTACATTGTTGTTACAGTGTTGTACAGAGGTACACAATGCAAGTATCTAACTAAGATTTTCTTCTAACTGTACATTTCATAGCACTATCTCAACACGTTACAAAGCTTTCAACATAATTCAAAAGAGTAGAAAGGGCTGGAACTGTTTCAGTCCTGTTTAAAAGTGAACTGTAAAAGTGGTTGCTAAAAACAAGTCTTCCACAATTGTTTTCTTAGATGAAATAAAACCTGATTGTATCCCAAAACATTAGCAAATATGAGACAAATTATTTTTGTTGCTTTTCAAGATATTATTTTCTGAAGTTCCTGTTGTCTATGAAAGGAAAGGACATCTTAAGTTCTTAATTGCTGTCATCTCAGATCTATTTGTTGACTAATGCTACAGAAACACAATGAATGTTCCCAGTCATGCACTTGTAAACCCCCCTGCCCATCCGCTCCGTAGGTACAACACAGACACCTGCACATCCATTTCAGAAGCTTGGGACTGGCAGACAGTGGGTCTTACAGATGTGCCTGAATAGGTTGGCTGTCCGCAGCATTGTTTTGCAGATGTAGTTGTTAACATGAATCTACATTGTCTGAAGTCTGTTGGAATCGGACACCTAACCTGCTGTGGTTACACCTGTAAACACAACTGAAGGGCTGCTGGGATTAAGAAGTGTCTGAAGGTACTTCTAATTCTCTCATGAGGACGGATTCAAATACAGAAAATGTAATCCTCAACAGCCATATTTGGAGCTTACTGCTTTAAGACCTGCTCAGTGCTCTCAGTTCTTACTGAAGTCACTACTGAAGCCACAAATGTATTTAACACCCTATAATTTTAATGTTTTGGCTGTTTAAGGGTCATATTGGACAAGTATCTCTTTGCAGTGCACTCAACCAGCAGCGTCTTCTGAAAGAGCCGAGAAATTCTCTTGGAAGGAGGAAGGCAATTTGAAATGGAAATTTTGCCCTGCTTTACGTTTTTAAGCACTGAGTTTTATTCTGAGATATTTCTGAGAGCTGTTAGCAACCTACCCCCAGCAGTTCACCTTTAAATATTTTAGCAATTCAAAAGCATCGTGTTGTTTTCAGTTTAAAGTGGATTTAAGTTGTTAGTCACATTAAAACAAGCAAAAACACAACAAGCCAAAACAAACCAAAAATGCTCTTTTTAATGGATTGGAGAGAGCAGGTAGTTTGGCTTAATTTAAAACTATGAAGTCTGAATAGCAGAGATCCATGTGCTCAGATCCTTGCTGTCACAGAAGCTGCCCACGTGGATCGTTTAGCAGGCCGTTAGTCTGCTTCATATTGTTGTTCATAGTCTTAATGTCATATCAGACACTTTACATGCTGCGTTCATATGGCTTTATTTTTCTTAATCCTTTGCCCACATTTAATCCTTAAAAGCAGAACTTTGAACAGCTTCATATCTTCTCTTCTTTTATTTGTATGCATTCCTTTCCTGAAGTCAACTGTGACCGTTTCAAAGAGAGCACACGCTCTGTACACCGCAGATCCAGAAAGTCTAAAAGAGGTCTGTGCTAAGAAACAATAACTTGATTCAAGCTGTAAATTAGCTGAAATGATTTGAGCTGTCTAGATTTATATATTTTTTTATGCCTTTGGTCTCTTGGAAATCAGAAGCTGGAAAATACTGTCAGATAGCAGATACATAGGGAATCATTTTTGGATTCTTTCCTTGCTCATGGTCCTTGAGCCCAGACCGTAGGCAGCGTCCTGCCCCAGAGAAGTACTTCAAACTGAGAAGTGCTACTCTTGAGGCCGTCGTCTAAGTGTGGGTTCTGGGAAGCCAGGGAACTGGGTCCTCCTCCTGTTATGGTCCGTGCCTCCATTTTGGATCTCTTTGTGTTCTGTCTATTCCCTTGCATTGGTAACTGGAAAAATAACTCAAATCCACCCCCTGCAAAAGTGATCTCTGACTGAATGCCTCAGTGTCAGCTGGAGGGTGATGTGAAATCTGTGAGCGCATGCTACACTCAGTGTTTGCTCCCACATTAGCTCACCTTTGACATTCGCCCACCTGTCAGAAGTCACAGGGTGCCTCCCAACCTCAGGTTTCCTTTGTCACACTGCATAATGCTCATCAGGCCTGCCCTCAATGCCTGTCTGTAAGTAGCACTAACAAGCATGTTTCTCTTGCTGCAGCAATCATTTGCAAGAATCATGCTAATATCATTCAAATTTAAAATGTGGCCCATTAAGCTACTACTTCACTCCTTTCTTTCTGTTCCCCACAAATTAGACGTGTAAAATTAAACAGGACTTGAGAATGAGTTTTTGTTGTCAAGGAGTCTTGAAAAGTATTGCAGACTTCTGAGTTAACGGTAACCTCTTTTGTCTTGGGACAGCTGAGTGCCCAGTTCTCACTGCAGTCTCCCAGCAGAAATTTGAGTAATAATCCTGTGACCAGGGGAGGGCAGAGGAACAGGCAGTAAGTTTGGTAGCTGTACTGAAATGGAATGAAGCCATAATCAGAAATGTTTAGCTTTGTGCATCCTCACGAACTCGATTCTTCTAACCAAGAATGGCAGACAATTTCAGAACACTTGTTTTGCATTTGCAGATAAATACTGCTCAGATCTGAGTAGCTTGAAATGAAGAGTGCGAGCAAACTGTTATTGATGAAATGCATATGCTGGTTTGAAACCCTTATCTGTGTTATCGGGTTTGTGGTAATCCATGGCATCTTATCTTTGTGCTAAAGAAATACCAACGTTGTCACTGCACTGTTGTGAATGATGTGGGGAAAAAATGCAGACCTTGTGGCTTGTGTTCAAAATAACTTTGATAGCTTCCCTTCCCTTGCTCTCCTTGTGACTGGAACAGAAAGAAACAGGCGCAGTGGCAGGCAGCACTCGGTGACTACGAGGAGGATGGTCGCGCTGTACGATTACGATCCAAGAGAAAGTTCTCCTAACGTTGACGTAGAGGTATTTACATAATTTTTTACTGTGTTTACCATTTATGGAGCCATAATTTAATTGAAACACAGCTGGTATTAGTAATCACTGTTACACGTAACAGCTAATGTGCAGAAAAAAATAATTCAAAATTAGAAATGTAGAGTATTTTCACATACACTCGTATTTACAGCAAATTCATACAAGTAGAATTGTGTTCGTTGAAAAACAACCAAGGAATATCTTTGGTAGGATTTGTTTATTGTGGCTCTCCACAAATTGTCAGTCATGGAAATATGGGCACTGTGTGTGTGCAACGTGTGTAAATCTATCCAAAATGAATTTCTGTAAGGACAAAAACATGGAGTTGTTACAAATAGTAGAGAACGATTCTTTTCCATTCGCTGCTTTGTGTTTCCATGTAAGATGGTTATTTCCAAACACTGTTCTACCTCATGCTGACAAGCCTGCTATCAGATGTCTGTAACCTGCCTTATCATTCCTTCAAAATCAGCCCTTTTTTGCAGCTCAAACCAGCCTAGTTTAGCACAGAGGAGCAGCATTCATAGTATGCCATATTTTTTCTTAATTCATGTTTCTGAGCTTTTGTGACTGTCTTGTCTCTAGCATTTTTTTAAATAAGAATGTAAAAATATCTTAAGCAATCACTGAACATTAGCTAGATTTTCATTTAAACAACTGAGCATTAGCTAGATCTTCATTATGAGTTTATCTTCCATTTACCTACGTGCAGTCTCCCATCTCTGCATATTTGTCACCTTGTCATCAGCAACAATGGAATCTTTTCACATTGTCTCTGATGTTACATGGTAAGTTCCTCACTCAAGATCTGATGCATTTGTCATTTATTGTATGCAGTGACTGTCAGTACAATGAAAGCTATAAAGAAAATACTGCAGTTAGGGGTTTCCCCAGTTATGATTTCATTTTTTTGGTAACTTGATTTTGTTTTTAGAGAGTGAATTTTGGAACATTTGGTACTTTCTACATCAAAACTCAGCCAGAGTTGTCCTCTATGTCTTGGTGAACTAAGTCTGGTTCAAACTTACAGTGTTACAAAGTAGTTTGGGCAATAAATGAAATAAATTTCACTGATACATTGCAAACTTTGTACTCCCTCTGCTGCTTTCCCACAGCCATCAGAATTTAAAAGCTGTTTAAATTAAACACTAGACAATTAAACAACTGAATGCACTGTTCTGTCAGAGACTGGAGATGACTGTTCCACACGTTTACTAAACAGAATCCAATTCAGCTCCATGCTTTTACTTCTTGTTTTGGAAAACAAAACCCAACATTCTCAGCTGCTCTTTCCCCATGCGTCTCCTGTTCCTCCTCTCCAGAGGAGTGACTTTAGGGGAGCTCTGAAGCCAGGCAGTTCACCACCTTACTCAGCACAGCACTGGCTTCCATTTGGTTGCATTGCCCAGTTCTGTGCAGATATATTTTGAGTTCCTTCAGGGTGGGGTTGCATTCAGCTTGTTTGGCACAGTGAGTCCTGCAGCTGCCTGCAACCTGCTAAGAGAGGTGCTTCAATTTCACATTCTAAGAAAGCCCAACGACTGCTCTCACAGTTCACCTCAGTTTCACTGACTGTTTTAATACAAAAGAGTAAAAAAATATTAAAAGGACTTGCTGTTAAAAAGAAAACCATTAATGTTTGTCTAACAAAACAAATGTTTTTTTGCAGGCTGAACTTACGTTCTGCACAGGGGACATTATCACTGTCTTTGGTGAAATTGATGAAGATGGATTTTACTATGTAAGTTGGCCTCTGCTTGTCCCTTCAACCTGCCGTAAGCTCACTCAGAGCTGGGCACGCAGCTCCTACAACTGTGCAGCAGAACCCAAAAGACTTTGCTGTCACTGCTGAGGGTGGCTCACTCTCACTACTTCATCACAGGCTTATAGGGTTGATGCAACTCAGAGCTACTGGTGCATTGTGTAAGTAATAGTTACAGTACACAATTTGCAGGAAAATGTGTACTTTGATCACAGATTAGTCTACATGAATGTATAAATGACTTTAACGGATAAGGCATTTCATCCAGGAAGAGAATCTAGATAGATTCTGCTCTGATGATATTTGAGATTAGCAGTTCAGTAGCGTTTTGATCAGGGAACTGATCCCTACGACTCTGTCATTTGTTTAAGAGAACGAATTTACTCCTGAGAAACAGCATTCCAGCAGTAGCTGTCGGTCTGCATCTTCAGCTTGGATTTCTCCATATCCACACCATGGTAGCTGCAGAAAACAGCCCTGCCAGCTCCTTCAGTTCCCTTTTACAAGTGACTGCTGCTGAGGGCCAAAAAAATAATTTGATTGCCTCAGAATTGCTTCACTGGCTGTGAAATGTAGTCAAAAGTATTTTCTTACCTTCTTGGTAACCTGAATTTCATTTAATTTAAAGCATTCCCCCAAACTTCCGTTGTGTTACAGGGTGAGCTGAATGGGCAGAAGGGGCTGGTTCCTTCCAACTTTCTTGAAGAAGTGCCTGACGATGTTGAAGTCTATCTGTCTGATGCACCCTCACGCTACCTTCATGACACACCGATGCGTGCAAAAGCAAAAAGGGTAAGCAACCAAGTACTGAAAACTTAAATGTTTATTTTTCATTCCATTCTGTCTCATATATAATTTGGACATGAGTTTTAACATTTTAAACCCACTTGCTCATTTTAAATTAACTTTCAAGTATATAAAACATAAAAAGTAGCTTGCTACATTTAAAAAATGAAGAATCTAAAATAGCATTTGATTGCAGTCATAGAGAATCTCAGTTATCATCTAAGTTTAAACAGCTTCTCCCTGGTGAAAGCAGTTACTGCCAAATGCTTCTGAACCAATCTTTTCTATGTGCACTATTTAGACAAAGGCGAAAGTTTTGTGAACAACAGAGCAGTAGAACCATTCCTTTAAGTACAAACTGTAAATGCAGCCCAGTGACAGTGTTCAGCTTTTACTCCTTATGGTTTTCTATTCCAACCAGCATTAACTGCCTAGAGACGTTTATAAAAAACTAATCATGTTTAGTGTCTCATTTTTTGTTTTGTTTCATCACTGCAATACTTTTATATATTATATATTTTATATATATTTTTATTTCTTTGCTCATCTGCTTGGAAACAGAAGAAGAGTGTTCATTTCACACCTTAATAAGGCAATGTAGCCTTCACGTAAGTGAGCAACTGAAGATACCAATAAAGATTTCAATTAAAGCTACCTGGCTATCTAATGCAAGTCTTGAAACTTAGTTGTGGGGGAAAAGAAAAGAAATATGTCTCCAAAATGACTGGCCACTGAAGAAAAAGCTGTATGCTTTTGCTGTATCTACTGAAGTCAATTTAGGGATTTTTAGGAGACAAATCCTTTAACAAGGAATTCTTAGAAATACATCAATTAGACCTCACTTTATGAAGGTCAACATTTGGAACATATTTCTTCATGAGCTAAATGTTTATGTTAACAAGGAAAGGCGAGTTTGATGTCTAACTGCCCTGCAAACCAAAGCTGCATATTGCATTGTTAGCCAACCTGAGATGTGAGAATTCCAAGTCCCTTTATCAAGAAGCACAACACCCCAACCCTCTAAAGTGTCCCAATGAAATGTAAGCTGCGGCCTGCTGCAGTGTACAAGGGTAGAGCTGGCTCAGAAACTCCTTATGATCCAATATACCTACTTCAATTGCCTTAAAGTATGTTTTCCATGATCAATTATACCCCAGTTTGCCTGAGACTGATTTTAAAACAAATTCTAAAAGAAAAAAGTCCCTCCATATGGCCCAGTTTACTCAGATGTTCCTTTAAAATGCTCAATTAAAATACCAGAAACTGTTTGGTTTACCAATGCAATAGAGGTCTCAACATGAAACATGCAGCTCACTCAATGAATGCATTAGACTAAATATATGGTATCTTCAGGTGTACTTTGGGGTGCTTTACCAAGTTGGTTTTTTTTTGTCATTAGGATTAGACCTTGATTTAAAATCAAAGTAGGCTTGAAGCCCCGTTGCTTAACTCACTGTTGCACATGCCAGTAAGCTGCTAATATTTTAACTTGATCTACAAGCTAAGAGAGGTTCCTAAAGCATGGATTCTACTATGACAACAGCACCTTAATAGATACTGCCACATTTTGTCAGCAGGGCACTGTAGTTAGGATAGGATGAGTGTAAGTAAGTAGTTTTAGCATTTTCATTCAAGCACTTTTGATGATTAAAACAAACAGCTCTTTAAGATATCTAGGAATGCTGTCATCAGTTATCGTGCAAGTATTCACCTTCATTCAGCAACTCACAGCTGCAGCATACACATCAAGCAGTCAGGGTCTTTAAGCTTTCTTTGATTGCAATTAAGGTTCATTTTAGCTTTTTTGTTTTTCTTTTCCTTTTTTTTTTTTTTTTTTTTTTTAAAGCCAGTGTGCCATCCTCTCAAATATTATGTATATAAAGTAATGTAGTTAATTTTAAAGAAAAGACATTTAAAGGACATTAAGAAATGTGTGATCATTCACTGTTTGAGTAATTCCTCCTGGAAACAGTTTTGTTTCTCCAGAGTGCTAATCTCTAGTACTGAATATATTTGTTTTTTCTTAAACCTATATTTGAATGTGTCCCTCTTCATTTCTGTACTAGAGCATACTGAAATGCAAAGCCAGCTTTGCAGCTTCTGTGGCCAGTACTGAGGCCTGGGAAGCACAGCCAACTTTCTTTAAAAACGTATGAACAAAATAGGGCTTCATTGGCATGTTTTCTATCGTCTACACTTTTCTCAAAATGTATCTATTTTCCATAAGCCCATATCGTATTTTAAGCCACAAACAAGAACTGAATCAACCCTTTTGTTTAAGTGGGTAATGGGACAAGTGATGTTGCCAACTTTCTTGATGCTAACAGCTTTTAAGCTTTCAAACATTCAATAAATTATAACAATGTACCTAATAGGTTCCTCCTGAGAATACAGGTACATCAAGGAGAGCACCATCCCCCACAGTTCATCTTCATTCTGGGTCACCTACGTCACCTATGGGTTCTGGTAGTCCCGGGAGAGGCAGGGATATGTCCTCGAAAAAGAAAAAGGGGCTGCTTTCCAAAGGCAAGAAACTGCTGAAAAAGCTTGGTGCAGTGAAATGATTCATGTGCTCCTGGACAACTTGTAAAGCTTCCAGTCTGTGTATTTTTTTTTTTTTTTTTAAATATCAAAACTAGGGCTTTCATGACTATGCAGTACAACTTCACCAAACCTTTGCATTCTTAACTCTGACATCAATAGAATCATCTGGATTGCTTAAAACAGCAAGGAAAAATAGAGGTTTTTCTTTAAATTACAAAAAAAAAAAAAACACAAAAACACAACAGCTTTGTGGAATTAAGACCAGAAGAACATGGTTTTGTTTGAAGTCCATTCAGCACCTGCAAGTATTGGATAAATCTCAGCCTTTAGTCTCCTTTAACCATACATAAGGGGAAAAAAAACAAACACCACTAATTCACTGACTCCCAGTTCAGAGATCATCCCCACTGTGTCTACTCTTACTCATTAAAGAAATGGTCTTGAAACTCCTAGTTTAATCAGCCTTGATGTTTTGCCTTATTAATGCACAATGATTTGTACTGTCTAATAAATATACAACATATACTTTGTACGTACTGTGTATTCAACTGTCTCCATCCTCCCTAAATCATGGTAACTTAAGATCAAATATGATGTTGCTGACTCCATTCAGTGTCTGATGTAACTGGGAGTTTGAAAGTGTTGCGCAAAATACTTTTTTTTTTTTTCATATTTCTTTTTCCTTCTTCCAAACCAAAACTCTTCCGTGGATTTATTTTGTCAAGATAGTCACTAAACTGAAATCCAATGCATTCTAAGTTATTCAGAGCCTCACCCTCAGTTTCAAGCACACAAATTCTACCAACTCCAGTTCTGGAGGTCCCTGGCTCACTGTTCTAAATCACCACCAAAAATAATAATAATACTTTTGCTCCCCAACTTTGCTGGTGGAGGCACAATCCTAAATCAAAAGGCATTTTTCATGTTGCTGATGTCAGATTCAAGGTAAAATGCATGTCTCACATCAAAGATGTGCTACATACACAAGCCGTAGCCTGTAAAAAGGCTGCAACAGGTGATAAAAATAACAACTGCAATATTGGCATCTCAGTAAAAAGAATCTTACACTGATGGCAGTCATTGGCTGTTACTATTTTGTAATTCTTGTCCATTTGTAAATTGTTTTTACTGTTTATACATACTTTTCAGACTGCCTTTCTTTTTGTAACTTATGGAAGGTTTGTAAATGAATGATCAAAGCTTCCCCATTGTGTCTTCAGATAATATTGTAAATTACTGTAAGATACTGTGTGCTAGATTGTAACATTAAAGAAAATAAATGGCCTAAATTTGTGGTAAAGTACTGTGTGGGTGTGTGCATGTGTACAACTGTTGTGTAATATATTTTATATAAATAAACAATTTGATATTTTGTAGAGTGCAGCATTTTTGTACCTCCTCTGTACCCACCTTCTGATCTCTCTGAAGAATGAGACGTCACAGGTAAGACACGCACAGCACTGAGTTATGCTTACAGCAGCTGTGCGTTCAAACACTGCACCCTCGTGGAGGAGAAGCAGGATGCAGCAGCAGCCTCCGAGCTGCCATGAGCTGCCTACAGCAGCAGTCACACTAACCCCACATTCACTGACCTCAAACAAAAGAAACCACGTGAGAAGGCACAGCCTGGACAGGCACAAGGAAGTAACACTTAGCCATGAAGAAATAAGGGACACTGAGTACTACAGTAGCACTACATGGCACCAGTAAGGTGCAACACTTCCCCAGAAAAACATACACCTCTCCATTACAAAGTACAAGTGCCAGAAAGAGCTTGATATTCTTTCAGCTGAGGGAAGAAAAAGCGTAACTGAATACAGGCTGCAGAGCTTCCTTGTTTTCAGAGCTGTAGGAAGCTGCTCAAGATCATTAAAGAATAAATCTAAATGCAAAACTCCAGAAGCTGTACAAAGCCAAAAACTGGTTACAGAAGTTACACTAGCATGGCACAGTGTATGCTAGGGCCAGTCTTTACTAATGCAGAACAAATACATCTAACATGATCAAGGGAGCAGGATTACAACTTTATTTGAATCTTGCAAAGAAAAGTAACAGAGTTTGTGAGTCAGTTTCAAAAAAACAGCACTAATCAAACACTTCTGTCTGAGCGAGTTTAACAGGATAGCTGGTAACACAACAGCTGAAGGAGTCCATGTTTTGCCTTACAAATTAAGCCATTCCTGCTCAACAGTTACCAGCAAGAACCTCAGAATTACAATCTGAACGGACACCTAAACCCTTCCAAATATTTGGAAGTGAAAAACCAAAAAGCCTTGTAAATAGCACAACTTTTTTTTTTTTTTCCCCAAGTCAGTGCTGATGTAGATACTGATGCTCCTCACAGGAAATTAAGTGAACATTTGTTAAATGAGAAAAATAATGAACAATCTCAACCAGCAAACTGCATTCATTCCACCTATGAACCTGTAGCAGTTTCTAACAATGTTTTCCTCTATGCAGTTGAATAAAGTCTTATTCAAAACACAGGTCTGCTATCTTCAATCTTTTTCCTGCTACAGTGAAAATAAAGTCCCACAGCTGCACGTACTCATGCACGTGTCTCATGGGAACAAACAAACCAACCCAAACCATACACTTCTAACTTCCCAAGAAAGGAACTTTTTTGGTTAAACTGGTAACTTCAGAGGTAGTAAAGTCTGTCTGAAAGCAACATATTTGGTTCCCTGTGAATGCTCTGTCCTACAAGGAAAGCCAGTTTATGGGCATACTGGCAAGGAGCAGGTACTCTGATAACACCCTGCAGAAAGGGGGAGAAAAATAAAAGAATTACTTTCAGTTAACAAAAGGAGTGCTGGAATTCACAAGTCACAATTCCCTGCCATTTATGCAGATCTGTGAAACGTTGCTTACACTGAATGCATTAAAAAGGACTCTGCAAGCATTTTGTATTTGCACTGGTTTTTATCAGATACCCTTTTTCTACCTTCCCGTTGTTTCAACACACAGATGCTCAGAACAAGAAGAATTCTCCTTTCCCCAAGGAAATACTTACCGACCAGTTATAGTACATGTGGCAAAGTTTGTAGGTTAAACGTTGCACGTGATCTGGTTTCAGCTTGCTTGTGTCATATATTACGTTATAATGAGTGGGTGCGACACAGCCATTTCTCACTGCCTGACTCACAATAAAGAAATCATACCTATAAGAGAAGAAACAAAACCCAGAAGTCTGGCTTTCTTAAGAAGAATGGACGCACCCACCAATTTCTCCTGTTTGTTTCTCTAGAATCACTTCACAAACATTCATTAAGCCTCAAAGCATACATTTACAAAACATTCATCTCCTCTGTTGCTGAAAGGCTAGAAGATCTTCAAGAACGTAGATCAGACCATTTCCATACGCTTAGATGAAGACCATGAAGGTCTTCTCCCTCCTGATGTGCAGCACAGATGTAGCTTCTATTCCTCATTTGTGTATTGTTACTGCAGAAATGCTCTGTTCTACAAGAAAAACATCATCCTTTGTGCAAGAAATACCTGCTGGCCACAGTGCACGTGCAGTACAAGAAAGCACTGGTAGTAAAATACAAAAAAAAAAAAAAAAAAAAAAGCAAAACTGGCTATTGTAACAACAAAACTGCATTCTATCCCATGTGCTCCAGCATCCTTTGGTCAAATCTGGGCAAACTGTGGCATTTTGAGCAACCTCTGCATTTTAATCAATACCCAACCTGAGTTCCATGCAGTCTAACTTGCAAAAATGGAAAGGTGAGGAAAGTCTAACAAGATGCATCTCTCTCTTTTTTTTTTTTTTTTTTTTTAAAATGTGAACACACACACACAACGGTGCCATTCTAAGTCTTTTTCCAGTGATTTTTCAATCACCAGCCAAAGAAAATTTCCAAGGTTTGCTCATAGAAGTGACAACATTTAAATCCAATGTCAAAAGCTAAAGCCAGACAAAATTTAGTTTCAGACAAGGACAGTTAGACAGGCTATCAGCAGTCAGTCAGTACTTAACCTTTAAAAGAAATAAATCAAGAAAAGAACTAAAACATACACTTAGAACATACATAATATTATATTTCTGACAGGTGCAGATGAAAGCACTGCAGAATAATAAAACTTACACCTTCTCATTTCACAGTAGGGCATCATGTCAAAAGGGCACATGTGAGGAAGTATTCTGCTTGATCCCACAGTCCATTTAATATTGGATATGTTTATTTCATTATCAGGTTGCTAACAATGGCAAGAATACCAGAACTTACCATTCTGGTCTGGTCACCTCTATATCAACAACAGTACCAGGGGGTGGGTTTTTAAGTCCTCCAGCAACCTGTGCAAAGAATCTGGTACTCACTCGTTTCTTCACAACAATCACAGTCAGTCTTGGACTAAAATAAATGAGTAGAATTAAGAGAAAAGAAAATAAGTCAGTCAGTCCTGGGGAAAACAAACAAACAACGTAGAATATTTCAGGAGCAGATTCTCTACAGCTTCCAATTAAAAAATAACTAGAGTTCTGCAGGACATCGATTTCACAGGGAAGCCTTCATTAATTTAGATCAAGTTGGACCTTGTTTGTAACTTTAGATTTTCAGTTTCTGGTGCAACTTCGATACTACTTCCCCCCAGATTTGTTTATATTTAATTTCACTGGGAGACAAATAGACCAGAAATGTTCTCCTAAATACAAATTTGACTCTGTCTCCTTTATCTTTTATAGATAGAACACACTGTGTATTAACAGTATTTTTGATAAAGAGCAAACCATTACAGAAACTAAACAGAGGAAGTGAGCATTTCAGTTTTGCCTGCTTGTAATTGTTTATAGTTGTTCTGTGTTCTGCTTGTCTGTTGTTTCAGGAAATAATTTCATCATTCAGACCAAGAAAGAGATCGGTCAAGTTAAAGAAATCCTGTAGCAGGGAACATTTAAAGCAGAACTGGGCAGAACTTAAGGACTGTCTTATTGTACAGTCGCTTTCACTGCTACTAAGAACAGTTGTTGATTACCATATGCATCAAGAATGACTACAGATCTGTACAGGTCTGCACATCGGGCACTGAACACTCATGGCACATGTATTTAAAACGTTTCCTATCCTATTACACAGTGGGTACCTCAAATCATGTAAACAACCCTCAGAAAAGCAGCTGTTTAAGCACAAGCAAAAATAAACAAAGATGAAAAGAGCAAACAATCTAAATCAGCAGCCACTCTTTGTAACCTGTTTCTCTTGTGGTATGAGACAAGGGGCCAGTAGAAATGGACTTACTTGTAGTCTTTACCAACGGTCTTCAAGCAATCCAGAAACTGAGGCACTTCATAATTCACCAAAGTATTGAGCTGCCCATCTCCTACACCATCACGATACACAATAATGCGAGAGGGCAAATACTTATTCCACTTGAACCATTCTCTTAGAGCAGCTAAGAAAAAAAGAACAGAAAGGCATTTCTGAATCTGCACTGTTAAATAATGCTCCTAATAACCATCAAGAGAAATAAGCAGCAATCTCATGGTGATGCAATGTGAATATACAACAAGAGCAAATCAATACTCCACTAGAAGCACTGTTCACTCCACCCCTGAATGTTTCAGGACTGTCAGTTCAAAACAAATCCCTACCCTAGACGGAAAAAGAAAAAAAGAAAAATCACATCTATCTTAGAATGTTGCTTCCACTTGTTCTGCAGGGTAACTTCCTTAATAGAGATGCTGATGCTCCTCTAAATCTTTCTTGATGCACACTGACAACAGTTATTAGCTACTGTTAGAAGATACAGGAATCAACAACAGAATGTATGAAAAATAATACACATCTTTAGCAATACTTATTAAAAAAACATTAATATGCTATCCAAGTACAGGTTGGTAATGCTTCCTTTCAAGACACATAAACAGACATCTTCTGAGGAAAGGAATTTGTCATTCCTTAACTCCTTCTCCACAAGAGCAGAAAGCTTTCCCTTACTTTGCAAGCAGGCTTTGAGCCCATCCACAAGTTCCTGCCCACGGCTTTGAACAACACAGCGTGAAAACCACCTGTGAACAACAGAAAAAAGACAAGTTTTGAAGCATTTACAGGGCTTACTTCTAAAAAATATATATATATTTAAATTAAAATGGCTACGACTACTCTCAGACTTTATGGTTACTGTGGGTCAAGGCAGTCAAGCAGGAATTAGTGTACTATGAGAACATTCTAGCTGCAAAACTCTTGTGGTAGACAAGACCCTGAGCACCACGTTAAATTCCCTTCAATCAAAAAAAACACCATTCAAGTGAACTCAAGTGGGAGAAAAGCTGTCGCCCTGACACCCCCCCCACACATCCCACTTGCTCTCGCTGCCAGGTGCTCTGGAAGAAGGACAGGGCTATTCTTTAGCAGATGTAGCACAAGGAAAAACTCAGGAGCAAAGCAACTATTCCTATTCACAGATAGTTGTTAGAAATACAGTTAAACCAATTCATAGGCTTTCACAACGGCCTTCCACATTCCAGACTCTTCTTGGTTAAGATCCCTTCTCTTTGGCATTCCAATCTTACCTTGTCATTGTTTCATTCAGGCTAGCGACAAATCCAGCAATCGACTGCTTTCCAGCTAAAGTATCATGGTAACAATCAATGCCCACAATCATTAATTGTTTCAGCTTAAAAGGAATCAATACATGTGTTAGCATGTGCAGACATGACAGAGCCCCTATCATCTCCATCCTAACATTTATCAAGATGTAACCACTTGCAGTTTCAGTTCACTTCAGAAAAGCACAGAGCCAATTCTAAGAATTACGTTTCTTTTATGTGAAATTAAGCTTCATGCTTCTTGTCACAGGCAGAAAACAAACCAGACCAAGAATACCCAAGTTATTTTTGCAAAAAGGATTTTTTTTTTTTTTTTAAAATAAGACTGAATAAAAAAAGTAGCAATTAAAAAAAAAACAAAAAAAAAACACCACTTACTGGGATCTCAACACTCCAAAGTTCTCCACCCATCTTACAGTTCATTTGCAAGGCAATTTTTGTCACTATGGCCAGAGTTGTCTGAGGCTTGCTTAAAGTACGAGCAATCACACACTGACTTGGAATGGGACAATCCGTACATAGGTATTTCTTGATGGCATCATACTTATCCTTTCGGGTACTAGACAAAATACAAACTGCCTTTCGAAGGGAAAAACGTTATTAAGAAACTGAATTCTCAGAATTGCACAGCAGTTATTGCTTCAAAGTTTCTTACACTCAAGAAACAGTCAAACACTGATAGTGAAAGAGCTACCTGGAAAGTTTCAGTGGCTCTACTTGCAAGGCAAGCACAAGGGCTTTTTAAACAGGAGGCTACTGGTATGTGCACTGGAGTTTGAACAGCACTATGAGAGGGCGTACAGGAGATGGCAGATATCCTCAAGCCAACGGTTTTAATTCTGAGAATTAATCCACTAGTGTGAAAATACAAATTAGAGATGAACATGCTTTGAAGTTATACATACTATGTTCGTGTCTGGAGTAATACTTTGTTGCAAAACCCTTAAATAAGCTTCTGTTCTATCATCCACTTCAATCCTGAAAGGAGGAGAAATGTTTCGTTTTTCTTCCTGCAAGTATTAATAGTTCTAACAGCTACTGAAACCTCAAGCAAAAACAAATACCCATTACGCTCCAGCACAGTATGATGTGCCCTAATTACAGCTGTTAATAAACACATAATATTTGTACTTTCTGATCACTAAGAAGTCCCTCCCTTAGGCTTCCAACAGAGATTAGCGATAAAGTTTGAAACAAGAACAAATATTCAGTGCTATCTGTAAAAATGATAAAGGAAGATCTGGTGAAGGCCGACATTAAAACATGCCCTCCTTGTATTGCACAAGTCCATCTGAGAACATTCTGCTCGATAATCAGATGGCTAACGCTATTTGACTTTGCATGCCTCAGCCCCACAGAGAAAGCATCCACAAAGAGAAGTATGAGTAAGAAACATCACTTGCTTGAGTAACCTGCAGAACCTGCAAACTGAAAGGAGCTTCTTTTTTAAATTAAAATCTTACAGTAGAAGTAAGTAACTTGAGATTCAATACTATCTCATTTACCAAACTAATCACGTTAACAGATAGACCTTACTAAAATAAAATGATTTTCCATCAGACTGACATACTTACATGGTTGCCTTGTTCATCCTGATTCCCATGGATGGTGTGACTTTGAACAGGTTCTGCAGTAACGTATTGGCAGCATCGTAGTTGCGCCGTGTGTAGATCAGCAGCCAGTTGTCCAAAGGCTTGGCGCGGATTAAGGGAGCCACCCTGGTTTCCCGTGACCAGTCAGCAAACTGAGGATTGTAATCAAACTGCAAACAACAAACGGAAGAGAAAGACCACTTTATCAAACACTTCAAAGACAGGCTGCAAACACATTTGCCTACAACATATAGAAGTACTTTCGTGTTGTCCTGTGGGTGTTTTGTTTTTTCCCTACTAATGTCACTCCGGCATCAGCAGAGCTTTATCTAGCCCTTTCAAGGCATCCTACACTCTTCAAATGTTTCCCTCATTTTAAGTCACTACTTGCTGTGCAGGCTTTGGCTGGATATAGCTACAAAGCCATTCAAGTATTAATATATATTTTCCCTAAATGGAAGGTATGAGATGTTTCCGATAAGAAAAAAATGCTTTGCTAAGTACTGTTAAAAAATACTGTCTATCTAGCATCCAATAAAAACCATCAAATCCTTTCTAGCACAGACTGCTACAAACCAAACTTTGTGTCTTACAGAAATTCACAATTTACTGGAGTCTCATTAATTCATATTAAAAATTTACCCAGCTTGGAGCGAGTAGATTCTGTGTGTGTTCTGCCCACAGAACAACTTAGTGGCTTTTCATTTCAAAGCCTTGGTATTTTAATAAATGGAAATCAGCTACAAACAACTGTATTCTCCTACTTTTGTATCTGAAAGCACTTAGTTCAGACAGAAGGGAATGTTTTGCAAGGAAGACAACTGTAATGCAAGCCAAGCATTTTCAAACAGAACTTGTGGACAATCACATTCAAAGCATACGGACAGTGACTTGCGTGCAATTTTCTCTCACAATCCTTCCTCCAACAAGCAGCATTTCATCCTTTAAGAACTTGCTTCACTGGTGACAGATCCTGAAAATTTACTTACCACGTTTCCTGACTGAAGGATCTTTTCTGCTTGAACAACTCTTCCCGTAAAGGATAGTAAGTTAGAATCAAAGCTTAAACCCCAGTCCCGGAGTTCCTTCTGAACACATTCATCTCTGTTCAAAAACAGCATTTCAATTAAAACAAGTTCATCCTTGCTGAGACTTTTTTCTTTTTAAAAAAAAGATTCACAAAAATTTTGCAAGAAATAAAGTTTGTCACAACAAATGTGTGTGACAAGGAAGTACAGGAGATACCCAGGTAACATACTTTTTCATGTAGTCAATAAGCTTCCCAATTTCACGTTGTCTTTGCTCAGGCGAAAGTCGTGTATGAACAGACAAGTCCTTCATCATGTTAAAATCATTCCTCATCTTCTCAGTTAATCCTGTCAATACAAAAACAGATTAGACTAAAGACTAAGAAGGAAAACTAAGAGTTTTTCCCTTGTCAGTTCACTTACAAGCTGCATCAGTTGAGACATTTAGACAACTTTACTGGATTTCACAGTTTCCTTATTGCCCTCGTTTGGTTTTCCTAAGGGCAAGTAAGCAAAAGGAAGTTTGCTAGACAGATGAAAAATGAATCCCTACATTGGAAGGCACCATGCTAGCGTTAACGATTTCTGCCAGAACACCAGAGTTTCAAATTCATTTTCCCATGCAGTGAAAATTACCAGTACAGAGCATGTTAATAGTGCCAAAGTCTAGAAGAATCAGACTTCAAAAAATAGCTTAATTCATTTCATAAGCAAAAGTAAACAAGGTTAAAATTCCCTACCTGCTGAACACACTGGGGTCAGCTCTGCACTCTCAAGCTCAACATTTAAAAACCAAACTTTTATAATATCATGATACCAAATCTTCTTAAAGATCTACAAGACTGTCTTTAAGCTTTCTCTGCCAAGTTAAATCATTAAATTTCAATGCTCAGTAATCCCCTCCTGGTAGCACTGTCTGTTCATTTTCTGTCAGCAAGACTGCCCAGGTCATTGTGTAAGACAGGCACAGCTGTTGCATTGATCCATGATCAAAACATGCTGAATTCTAAGGTGAATAATGGGCTTTTAGCATTTGCTACAAGTTCAGGAGCTACTTAAGGACAAGGAAGGTGCCTCACAGGCCAGGAGAGCTGACTAGGATGTCACAGCTGACAGTGAAGTCTCCTAGTCGAAGTAGTGTGCTTTTATTCAGAATTTGAAACTGAACAACTTGCACACCGCTCCGGGCATCCACCTACAACTGGTGGAATTCACCAGCAATTTTGAACTTCAGGTGAGGTATCTGCAGCAGTTACCTGCCCTCCACGTAATAAATATTTTCCATCTATGGCTGCCCAGGAAACAGTCAAAACCACATCCCACCACTTCAAAGGGGTTTATTGAGGTCCAGAGTCTTCCAAAAGGAAGAACCACCACCACCACAGCAGCATATTTATAATGGATGCAGTCAAAATACCAGTTACAGTAAGAAGCATGGCTTGACAGTTGCTTTGACATGAAAAAACTACTGCTACCATACCTGTTAGATAGCACAGTTCTGGGATCAGAACCACAGGTCCTACCATCACATTTCCTCTCTTCCTCCGGCACTGACTGATCAAGACAGGCTGGTTCAAGTCACTGATTTCTTGATTATATTGCTGTATGAGAAATATATATTGTATGCCACTCTATTAAACACTAAGTTTTCTTAATGCTTATTTCAGAAAATTTATTTTAAAAAGAAAAAAGCAGCCATCAACTTTTTTTTCCCCTCCAATTTAACTTAGAGGAATTTGTTTTCATCAGAAAAAGCCAAACAAGGAAGCACTGTTCTCTCTATTAGTGAGATCAGGTTATTAATTTGTAAGATATTGACTTGCAAGAGACAACAGAAACAGTCCTGCCTAGCTTGAGGCAATACCACCCAAAGTACCTAAAACAAGATTAGGATGCTCATTTCAGTTAGTTAATGGACAAGGTTCCTATCCTATAGAGCAATTTAATTCAGTACATCCCATGAATCAAACAAGATTCCACACAAGTCTGAAATTCAACCCTCCTGCAACACTTCCATGCATCTGGCAAGAGTTGGTCTGTGTAGCAGTCACTAATTTAATTTAGACAGGAAAAAAAATAAAGCTGACAGCAAAACATACTTCACAGTTTAACTCATTCTTAAAGAGCATCACAGCTCAGGGAAAAAAAAAATACAGCTTAAAAAACAAGAGTGAGATCACAGCAAAGGCTAGAAGGGAAAGAAAACTCATCCTAGTTCATAGATGTATAAAGAAGCAAAATCTTAATGAAGCCCCATTTTTTTTTTTTACAGTAGAAAATGATGTTCACTGTTCCAAAGGGAGGTTTAATTTTAGAGAAGGCCGAGCTATAAATTCATACATAAACTTTGTCTCAAATGGCCTCAAACTAATAAAATATGATTTCCTTAAGATGTTGTCCACATATTTCACTCCAGAAGATCATCAACAACCTTTCTGCTGAAGGTACGCTCTGCCCATTATCCAATTAGTAGAGATGTTAAACAGGACAGGTTCCAAGACTAAGTCTCTAGTTACCAACCTCCAGCCTGGTTCTACACCTTGGAGCCCAGCCATTCAGCCAGTTTTCAATCGCCATCTCTCAGTCTCTCATCCAGCTCATACCTCATCCACTTCTCCGTGAGGATCTTGTAAGTAAGGCTTTCAGCCTTGCCTTCTAAGTCTAAGCAGACAATATTCACTGGCATTCTATCATCTAACAGGCCAGTCACTCATCACAGAAACTTACCACACCAGTCAAGCATGCCTTAATGAGTTCCTCATCACTCATATTACTAGAAAGTTTGCAGAATTAGCTTCTCCAACACCCTCCCAGGGACTGAGGTGAGGCTGCCCAGCCTGTAGTTCCTTGCATCCCTCTCCTAGCCCCAGTTCAAGAAAGTCACATTCACTTTCCCCCACCACCTGGGCGTTTGTTCCAGCTATCATCATCAAAGATTTCTCAGAGGCCCCACAGTATAATCAGGCAGCTGTCTCAGAACTGGGTGGGTGCAGTAGTAAGTACTGCTTTTACTCTGTACACATCCATTCTGTGTTTGAGTTTTGCCAGGAGCTCCCTGCTCCCCTTCATGGTCTTACTGCACAATTTCCTACTCTCTGAGATGGACCACTAATGGTGAACTCATGCCAAGTAAACAGTTACATTCAGATTACAAATTATTAAAGACAACTGCATCACAGGTAAACCTTCCAACAATTCTCTAAAATTCCACGTCCAAGCATACCACACAAACTGACAGGTGAGCTTCCATACCCTTCTGTAGTAGTCTATATAGCTGATTTCAGAGCCGTCTGCTCGTCTGAAAGTACACTGCGGATTGGCATCCCAGTCGATGTCATCAACTCTGTATGTTCTGTTATTGTACCTAAATAAACCATTTCATCAGTCTTTGGTTTAGATTTGTTTGTTTGTTTTTTTAAATCATTAACTCAACTACAAATGAAACAAAACTATGAAGAAAAAATTAATGGCAATACTCATATAAGTTGCAGAAACTTACTTTGTAAGAACAATTACACCTATCAGCTCCTTTGCACAGGCATCTCTAAATCTTCTCTCTTCAACCTGTTCATAGAGGCTGTACATAGAATCCAAGACTGTTTCACTGCGAAGAATCTTATGGCTCACATCTGCACATAACATAATGTTCTCCTCATACTGGAGAATAGAACTTGTGAAGCCTGGCCAAACCATCAACCTATCAAAAAGGGAACAAACAGGATTTTAAATGCATACAGTGATTTAAAGCATCTCTATTCGGACCCTTGAGTCATTTCTGTCCACTGTCTCAGACACTCGAAGCCATCAAGACACAAAGAAACCATTATCCAATACAAATGAGATCACAAAAACTAATTTTAAGAAGTATTTTAAATGCAAGTATCTTTAGACAACTTAAGATTTAACCAATTAGTGATACAGCAATATAACCAAGCCCCCAGAAAACAGCGTTTCAAAATTCTACTTAAGTATCTTAAGTATACAGCATATGAGCATTCAAGGGATGTGTTAGAAAGACCAGTAGTTTATTAGAACACTGTCTAGTTTCTTACATCAAGCAGGTTAGGTAGGCTAGACCAACAACCAGGTGTACACTGCAGCCATACCAAGGAGCACCAGCCAAACACAAGGCTGTCAACACGTACAGCAGACCGAGTGCTACCTAGAAGCATCAGTCACATTCTACGGGCTCCTGGTGAGGGAGGCAGAGTTCAAACACATCATCTCACAACTGGGAGCTGCAAAACTGTCCACTGGAGCATCCTGATAGGAATTTCCTCGGCAGCTTAAATGGCTATCAAAATGAAGGCTGGACATTCCTGAACTTTAGTAGTAAAGGGTTCAAAGGTTCCAGCTTTATGGTCATTTATGCGGGGTTTCTGTCATGTGAGTTCAACGTAATAACAGAACACACACTGCTAAAGAATCATCAGATGTTATTCCCAAGGAGCATGAGACCATCCTTCCGTGTAACATTTTTAAAATCTATGATGTTATTATAAGATAAACAACTGGAGCAACACTGAAAAAATCATTCTGTCTCCCTTGGGTGTCCATTTTGTCAAACCTGTGATTAGGGATGCTGACTGGGTCCTTGGGGTTGTAATAGTTACGTCCAATTTGCTGCAAATTCATCATCTTCAAAAGCCTGGAAGTTGAAATGAAGTTATTATTTACCATTATTATTTATCAAACTACCTATGGTCCCGCCTCTCATACAACTTTTCCCATTCATGGTCCAGAACTGCTGTTTGCTTTAAAAGGCAAATTCACACACAGAAGAGGGCAGGGAAGGGGCTAACTGCCTAGATGAATGAGCACTACAGCGTGAATCTACCTGCACAGGGAAAAGGCATAAACTAATTTTACGCTAACATGTACCAAAATCACCAGAATCATAGAATGGCTTGGGTTGGAAAGGACTTTAGAGACCATCCAATGGAAACCCTCTGCATGGGCACAGCTGCCAGCCACCTGCTCAGGGCCCCACCCAACCCAGCCTTGGCACCTCCAAGGATGGGACATGCACAGCTTCTGTAAGCAACCAGTTTCAGTCCCTCAACACCAACGCACCTCACACTGTGCATGCAGCCACACAATAACACATTAGCAGGTGTGGCTGGCCACACAGAAATGGTAGCTACAAAGGCTTGAAAGTTTAATTTCTCATATTGATCTGTAGTCCACTCTCTGGAAATGAAACATTAAGACATCTTTTCAAATCACTTCTTACAAAGATATAGCTGGGCAAACAAACCTTCTAAAAATGATGTTGTAAAACTGCAGACATGTAGGTGAAGTAGGTGGTAACTCATTAGTCAATGTGATCGTGATCCTCACATCTTCTCCATTTCGGGTCTTAGAAAATACTTCAGTAACCTGAAAAAAATGAACTTAGATAAATAAAACTAAAGGCAAACAGGCTATACCTAGACTTTGCTTTTTTAATATCAAATTGTACTAGTATATTAAAAGTTTCATTAATAATCTTGAGATTTTACCAAAACAGGAATTAGATTTCCTACTGTGACTGCAAACTGCAGCCTAGAATGCTTGGTTTGTTTAGGTGAGAGACAGAATGGGGACAACGCCCAAGGCATCCTGTGCAAGATACTGGGGGGCAGAGACAAACATTAAAGCACATGGGAGTAAACAACTTTCCTCCTTCCCTCCAAACTCTTTTCCCTTGCCTTTATTAAAGCCACACTCAGGCCCTTCAGTAAGAACAGAGGCAGAACCAGTTGATACAGTCAGCAGTTACCCTCTGTTGCTCCTTTCTTCTCACACTTGCACTGCTCAGACTTTTCTGCCCCCCTTTCTTTACCATGCTTTCACAAAGGTGCCACCGGCTCTGCTGACAGGCTCAACATTGGTCTGCTGCAGCTGAAAATATCTGTATATAAGTAGACTTGAACTCCTCCCACCAGGGCAATCCCAGAGCCCCCCCCAAGCTACTAAAACCTTACTATGTATACCCAATACATCCAGCCTTTCCATGACAGTGGATGTGAGAACATGCAAGTTATGATGGAAAAATACAGTCTACTACCTGCTTCTGTGCAGAGGAGTATGCCAGTCTGCAGAGTCCGAGCATCAGAACCAGAAGTTTATTACCAAGTTTCTCTACAGAAACAAATTAGCTTATACTATCATTCAATTCAACTAAATGTTGCTCCTGAGACATCTATTCCTTTAGTTCAACCACACTAGTAAGAAACAAGAAATGTCATGAAACACAAGCCAAGAGAAAAGCAAGACAATACTCTTGTATCACACCTTATTCGACAGTCTTTTGGGCAAGAATAATATTGATCCATCAAATGCATGTGTCTTCCCAATTAGGTCTTCATGCTGAAAGAGCAAAGCTGATCGAAGGCGGCGTGCTTCCATCTCAGGATTGTAGTCTACATGGTACTGATACAAAGCCCATTGGGGTCGAGATGTGAGACGAAAAAAATTTGCAATTAATTTTATCACAGCACCTGAAGAGCCTAAAATGAGAAGCAAACACAGTGGTAATTACATCAGCTTTACCATTCTACAGAATTTTAATAACTCTAAAAAATTAAAATATTAAGTCATACACACAGCTACGTTCAGCATCCATCCTACAACAGCAACATTCATAGAAATCACTCCACATGGACAGCATTATTACTGTCACCTGGGATTTTTATAATTCCTTTGTCCCTCAGGAAAACTCCTACATCAAAGGAGGTATGCATTCACATCTCAAACTTAACCTCCTAAGGGGCAGCTACTACATACTACAGAGATCTGCCACCAAAACACAAATGGACAAATCACTTTTTTGGTGAATCATAAACATTGAGCAGGAACTAACACAAGAACCAATCAGCGTAGATGTCCACTTTCCCATTCATACATGATGACACGTCCTTTGATATCTCAAGATTTAAAAATAAAAACACTACACAGTGAGAACAAACTCCAGGTCACATTTTTTCCCCACTTTTTTTTTTTTTTTTCCTCCAAGTTTCATTTCAGTTTCTTTTAGACTTAAAACCACAAGCATAATAATAATTTTTAAAAACATACTGCAGCCAGTAAGGATTATGCACTTTAATTTGATTTGGATTACCCATTTTTTCCTATCTGAAATGTAACACCTCAGACAGAAACAAGAAGTCCTATGAAGCACATATATTCTACCAGAAACCTGTACAAAAGTACAAAGAGAAAACAGAAGGCTAGCAATACAGCTGCCTAGGTACAGCAAGCCATCATCTAGTTGCATTAACAGAACTCTGAATAAAAAATACAGGTAAGAGCTACTCTGCTTCTGGCCCAAAGTGACTCAAGCAGAATTACTTGTCACCACGGCTGGACCATTCAGTCAGCACTGACTGCTACAGGTGCAGTTGTACTGCTGTGATATCTCTCAGTCATTTGCAATATAAAACCATTACCAGCACAGAACTCTAGGACAGTGGTGTAGCAACGAGGTGGGACCACTATGGCAGCCCGCTTCTACTTCTTTTCACATGACTTCATCTTAAGGGCAGTAGTTAATTACCTTCTACTTAAACTAAACTGTTTCTTCAGAACAGGTCTCAAGTTGCATGCTTTTTGCGGGAGATCTCTGCAAGTTTGTTCAAGTGTGTTATGAATCCAAATGTCTATAAGCAAAACCTACTGAGTCCTGCAGTGAAGTACTGCTTGCAGAAGTCAACATCAGGAACATACATTGACTACCACTTATGTCTGAATCCCTGCAATTTAAATGCTACACAACATTTGTCACACATCATCTTACTGTTCCTCTTCAGGTGTCAGGAACAACTCATATCTTTTTCTAGCACATAATAAGGATATACATATATTTTTTTGAACTTGGCTCCCAAGGGGATGCTAAAAGCAGAAAAAAAGCAAAGCTACTGTTCATTTCAACTTGGTTGTATTTGTTTATGATCCAACCTGAACATACCAGTTTTTGATTCTCGAACGTGTTCTATGGCTTGCCGAGTATTTACCCCGAGGTCATGGAAATCCCGACGACGTCCGCCCCTATCCGCTAAGGACAGTTCCTGAAACCCTGCCGAAATCTGTAATCCTGTTGTTTTGAGACAGAGGAAAAGAATCTTATTTATTTACTGTTTTGATAAAGAAGATCACATTCTGTTCAAGCTCTACTAAAGTTTGCTCTCAAAAGTCATTCTAACGTGCAGCATCACTGAACCAGGACAACACCATCATCACGAGGTAAACATTCAATTTTTCAAAAACATAGTAACAGATGTTCTTTTGAAAAGGAGAATTGGAAATGCAGCACGAAGAGAGTATTAACTGCACTCTCTTCAAAATACATGTTCTTGTGGGAAATTAACTTTTTTTTCCTCCTTCTGACCTAGTGTCTTTGGAGCATCCTGAGGGCCTCTCTGTCGCCCACGGCCACCAGGTTCTTCTGCCAGTGCTGGAGGACGACACAGCTGCAGCGACTGCTGCTGCCCAGGTGGATGACTGGGCAAAGTCTTTTGAGTCTGCAATAGATGAGAACAACTTTTTCCAGTGCAACTGAAGAAACAGCATTTTGGGTATACAACAAAGCAAAGCCACTGATCAAGTCCAGAATATCCATGCACCCAAGTGTAGCAAACGTATTTGAATTTCTTTCCCCCTTATAGGTACCAAGAGTTATTACTACATGCTTTCAGTACTAAAACAACAGGGTTTGGGATGATGCTCATTTAACAGCAGTAAGTGTAAATCATCTCTCTCCAGGCCCTGCACAGAATCTCTGCACTACTCTCAGTGTCTCCACTGATATTCCAAGTAAATGTCTATTTTATAAAAACAGCTCTTCTAACTTTAGTGTTTAGTTTAATTTATAATATTAATATTTAAAAGTGTCATGCTTGCACAAATACTTCAGAATAAGCTGTACTAGCTCGAGATCTTCTCCCCCCAAACAACTCAAGTTCCCAGGGAAGTTATAGAGTTTTATTCTATTTAGCAACTACAAAACATGACTGCTGGCCACAAACAATCCCACAATTCAAAACATTGACCAGATTATCAGTTTGCCCCATAAGTATGGTTAGTTATTTCCCAAGTTGAAAAAATCAAGTTCACTATTTTAAGTACAAGCAAGCAACAGGCCAATATCAAGGATAATGGTGAAACCTGAGCCAGAGAGCTGAAAGGCTCTGTTCTACAACAAAGCAGAACCTTTTACGCTGTCACACAACCTGCCAGCCTTTCTCTCCTGGAGTTCCTCTACACCTTCAGTCTAGTCAAAACAACTCATTTGAGTTTGTGCTCCCTCATATTCTCACCATGCAATACAAAGAGCCCAGCTCCATCTTCTTGACAACCTCCTCAAAGGCTGCAGTTTCCCCATTCAGAAAGGTTCCTCCTCCCCAAATAATCACAGGTTATCAGAAAGTTATGTAAAGAGATCTCTGATCTCCTTTAACATCACTAATTCTTTCTGATAAAAACCATGAGCAAAATCAACTTTGTGATATTACAATGCCTCTGTATCAGTCTAGTGCCAAAGACAACAGGGATCATCTAGAATTCAGCTCTCTTCTTTCCGCAACCTCTTTTGGAAACACCTCTGAAACTCAGCTTCAGAGAGGAAGATGCACCCAGTCTACATGGTATGAGTGCCAGCCTATACAGGAGTTTCATTTAAAACATACATACTAAAACAGTGAGCAGCAGTAACACCTCAAGGCACAGCTGTGTCAATTAAAGAGAATCAACTTACAGATGCAGCTCCCACAGGAGGAATGGCAGCCTCCTGACTTGGAGGCCTTCCTCTCGCTCTGGCTCTAGCTCTTCCCGTCATGTTCCCTTTGAAGAAGAAGCACCCATTAGCGCTCAGTCTTACCCAAAGGCACATTATAAGCAGCACTGTTCCATCTGCCCATCCAGTGGTAATTAACAGATCCTTACAGCCAAACCGAAGCCTACCAGCATGGCCCAGGCAATCTCAAGCCGTGAAGACACGGCCAGAGCTTCAAACTCTGAGCCCACCAACACCACTCTGAAGTTGCACTTACCAACTCGACACAGACTAACTCACTACATTACCAGCGGAGCAGCAAACGCTTTATTTGCAGCACACAGCCACCCAAACGGCCCCAGAGACCACTGGCTCCTCACGCAGCACCCATCCCTTCCGGCTCCGCCTTTCTCGGCCGCAAATCCGCTTCCCCTCCCCCACCAGCTCGGCCACGCCCTCAGCATTACCTCAGTCACAAAGCGACGCCGCTCCCACTCCGGCGACACACGAGACCGCCGTCTCCACAATACCACACGCCTATCTCCCCGCCGGGCTTCCCGGATCACAACAACCCACCACCACCGTCCGTCGTCGCCGCCTCCCGCAGGCCCGGCCCGCGGAACTTTCCTCAGCCTGCACGCGCTAGCGAGCTAAAGCGGGAACGCACGGAGCTCTCTGATTGGCTACCGAAGGCCGAGAGCTGCCGAAGAGTGCCGAAGAGTGCCGAAGAGTGGCGACGGGGGTCGCTGGCACCGAGGGCTGCGTGCGAGGCGCGAGAGGTCCGTCTTGTGGCACGGCCTGCGAAGCGAGCGGCCGTTGAGGGCTTGGTAGCTTTTGCGAGGGAGTTTCCCTGCTAGGTATGATTCCATTCCCGGTCCAGATCTTGCTCGAAGAATAAACGTGAGTTAACCAGAAGGTGGAGCAATAAAACAAGAAATGAAAGTTGTTTCTGTGAAGGATCGCATTTGTCAGTAGTGTTTACAAAGCTGCTGTTAAAACTTGTTGTTCTATTCCAGGCACGCACAGAATGTGGACAAAAATAGACACAAATGGACTTAAATATACTCTGTGTAGAAGCAGTTGGAAGGAAGGACTGGACACAATCCAATTAAGCATCAACAACTAAGAACACGTCAGCAATCATCCCTCCATTGAGAGATATTCTTCAGCAGACAGCCATCCAGCTGAAAAAAAAAAAAAGCCTTTTCCTAATTGCCAAGGCTAGTTCAATTGCTGTGATTGCTTCCAGAGAATCGTCGTGTCTATTTTAGGTACCACAGAACCAGCAAATCTTATGGCTTGAAAGTAATTGGCCTTCAGTGGGAATTAGCTCTGTCTGCAAGCCTTCCCCATTGCAGTGGGGACACAGAAGGGCCAGGCAGTGCCAAGGCTCACATGCACCTTTCTAGTGCTGTAAGCATGCCTTTACGTGAGGCTTAGGTGGTTGTGACGCATCTGGAGATAGCGACTTCAAGGGACAAGAGATAACGTTATCTAATTAAAACCATACCTTCATGAAAGACCACAGGGATCTCGTCAGGTCACTTGCAATTTTTCAGCTACCTGCAATGAATAGAGGACAAAGTTGCTTTGCTTTGTTCTCTGTTATTCCAGGTGGAAAAGGAGTGGTGGTATTAACATAAATAATAAAAATACCTTCTTTTGTTTGATTTGGATTGTCAGTTTGCTTCCAAAGCCTTTTTTGTTGTGCTTCTAATTAATGTCAGCGTAGTAACCCTCTTAGGAAACCAGATTCTCTTTTACAAACTAAAAATAAAAGCGTTCAAACTGCGGAAGTGTGGATATTGCTGCTTAACGATAGTTGAAGTACTTCCAGCATGTAATTTTTATTACTCAAATATAAATCTGGATAAATATTTAACAAACTCCACACATACACTTACTTAGATGAGGCAAGTTTGCTGCTTTTGCGAGCGCTGATTACTGCTTGCCATGGGCTCTTTACCCACAGAGGGAACTTTCATTGCTCGGTAGCCTGCAGAACTCTCCAGCGGGTCAGAAGGTTGAGCTGCAGAAACACAATATGCAGATTTTCTTAGCTCAGCTCTATTTAACGATAAACAGAATGTGAAGATGTTGTCAAAGCCGTTTACATTATGTAAATTGTGAGAGAGGAGAATGTGTGTGTTGGAAATAGTTATATTTGTTTATTCACTTACAATATCTGCCATCCTTAATGTTTATTTTTTTAATGCCAGATTCCTTCCATTTCACTGCAGAACTTAATTGTCTTTAGATACAAATTGCTAAAAGTACTTAATCATGTTGGCTACCTACAGCAATACACACACATCGCCGATAACAATACATCTGCAGTAAGCACACTAATTTTTGTACGTGGGTTGTCAGACAGGTAATTAGTATTTAATGAAAGATGGGTTCCAATTTGCTTTTCACAGTCTTTCAGACTTGCTTTTTTTTTTTTTTATCCAATTCAAGTCTGGTTAAAACCATCCCTACAGGTAGGTTAATGTATTTTCACATCTTAGAAAAGGTAGAAATGGCAATGCACCGACTGCAGCAGGTGTGTTGTGTCCATAGTCTTGTCTGGTTTTAGTAAAAATGCAGAGGAAAATGAGATTTTGAAAGTGGTAGCTGCTTGTGTTTTGTTTTTTCTGTGTTGCCAAAAAATCTACCAAGGTTGGATTTCAACACTGAAGTATCACATACAAAATAATTTTTTCACAGCTACTTGGCTTGGGCTTTGCTTTGATGTTTTCTTTACCCATGATGCAGTTGTTTTTGCTCCTGTCTCCTGTTGCTACAATAAGCCATTTCCCATACATGTCATCTCCAAAGGGGAAAAGACTGCATGGAAACAGAACAAAGAAAACAGAACAAAAGAAAATCAGGGATTTTTCCAAAGGCCCATCTGATGTACAAGTATAAACAGGAAAAAGATGCCTGAGGAGGTAGGAGCCAGGAACTGTATGAGCAGACAGCTGTTAACTTGTGTAGTTAGCAGCGCTTTGCAATCCTGAATGGTAAATAAATAAATGATTTGAATGCATACAGTGAAGAATATGCTCACTTCAATACCTTTAGCATAGAATATAACCATATTGTACATTCCCAGCAATGTGAGCTGAATGTCTTGCCTTTATACTCCTTTCATAACACCAGGTTCAGGTATCCACAGTTCTTTGGTTCTATCCCCAGAAAAGGCCAAGAGGCTTTTGTAAGGCTTCAAGATATCAGATGTAGAAGAATTGTCTGCTGTGATGAAGGAAACAAAAATAAAGGAACATCTCACAACAGAACACAGTAAGTCACATGTGGCCCTATTCTCAAGAGACCAACATGTTGGGCCTGAATCCTTTTAAATATTTTGTAAAAAAAATCCAATAGGAATTGCTCAAAAATAAACTTTAAAATTCACATTGCTGTGAGAACTCACAAATCTCAATCACAGTATTTTTACATTCTTATCTTTTTTTAATATAAAATGAGAGAGGCAAGGTTTTAAAAGCTGACTTACTATCAGAAATATCTCATGAGTTAACAGTCTTGCTTCATCCCGATGCAAATTCTCATGTCACATTTAATTTACTGTAATTATGCTGAGGGTAGAGGATCTGGTTGGCCTGCACAGTGGGGCCTGGTGTTTGTGCTACCGTGAGTGAAATGTGGGGGATTGGGAAGCTATTATTTATGTACCATAACAGAAAGCAAAAGGCATGTTAGGGAAAAAATCTGCTACTAAGGAGATAATACCCAACTCTCTATACAACAAATACAGTGTGTGCATTTTCCCTTGGGAATAGAAAAAAATTTTTCAACTCTGTATTTTCTCTGCTGTTCCGTAGCCTATTGTTTAATCCCTAATCTCTGTTTTTCCTTAAGATTCTTAATTCTTATGTCTAAACATTTATTGCCAGGAATTCTCCTCCTAAACTTCATCGACTCCCTTCTCATCTACTGCATAGGACTCTCCCCTGCTCCTCTCGACAACAACTTGTTTTGATTCAATAGAAGAAAGCTGTTTTTCTGTTTCATGTGCTCACTGTTTACCAGAGTGTCTGATCACTACAGTTATCATCACTGCTCACTCCAAGCCCTGTTTTGTCAGACAGTGCCCTGAGCCCTCTTTTCCTGAAGAGAAAATGCCCTTTTTGTTTATGAGCCATCATATCCTGGCCAAAATTTCCCACGCTGAATCAACTCAGCTTTATTTTCTCTTAATTTCTGCCATTTCACATCATTTTGAGCTGACATCTAATGTGCAGAGTGAGCAAGAAGTGATTTGACGTAAGTTCTGAATAAATAGTAACATTGAATTGAAGAGGTCACATTAAAAAAACAGAACCAGAACCGATTATAAATGATTTGTAAAACTTCTTGCATGAATATAAGTATGCAATTCTGTAAGATGTCGTATTGCTCTCTTTTATCTACATTTATAAATTATAAGAGGAGACAATGTTAGTATATGGAGTACACTGGAATGGAACTGAACAAGTCTTTTCAATCAGGTATTACATAGTGAAAGTATTGTATTCCTCCAAAGAGTAATGGGACGTATTTCAGAAGAAAGACTGGTGAAAATTCTCAAGTTCAGATAGATTGATGTCAGCTCATTTAGCAAGCAGGTTTGATCTAATTGTCTCTTTATTGCTCTGAACGTTCCTGAATTATGCAGAGAATTTGGGTTATGTGATTTAGCATTGGATTAAAAAATGTCATAGCTTAACTTTCTTTAAAATAATGTGGAACTTTGTTCACAGTCAACGAAGTTCATTATTTTTTGTTCAAAGCCCAGCTGCAGGCCTGGAGCATTTCTCATAAATATCAGGAAGTACCTGAAGCCACAGTTAGGATTAAAGAGTTGATCTGAACCTCAGATCTCGGCTTTAAAGCTGTAATGTACAGTGAATTTGGTTTCATGGTAAAGGAAATGGTAATTGCTAAAGTATGTTTTCTTAAGTCGCAAAATTATTTTTGAAATGTTTTTACTGAGACATTTATCAGTGCTATGCATGCATGAGAATGAGTGGACTTGCAGCACAGTGTTTTCACAGGATCACAGCGCTGGATTTATGTACTGGTGTCACTGATCCCGTGTCAGAGGACAGCCTTGCTTCTCCCTTGTGCACAGCATTGCTGCTGAAATTATCAGATCCACAGCCACAATCTTTAGAACTATCCAAGCAAATGAAGTAACAATTTCAGTATGCTATTCCAATAACTTTTCAGGAAGAGTGGTCAAATTCCTGGTTATCTGGCAGATACGCTCCCATCAGAACAAGGAACACAATCCACAAGTGATATCTTTAGTTATAAAAGTGCAGATGAAATATCTCAACTAAGACATGAGAAAAATCACCTTGCTCTTTGCTCCCTGCAAACAGTATCTGATCTGCATGTCTGAGAAGA